CCTCCCCCCCCATAGTTTCCCAGTACCGTCAGCCATTTTCTTATAGTATTACATTGGATGTTCAAGGTCCATTATATGAGTGAGAACATGTGATACTCGCAGATCGATTTTTATATATGTGAAAGGTCTTTCTCAGCATAGAACAAAGGACAATATCACGTAGAAAAAAATTATTAAATGTGACTTCATAAAAACTTTAAACTTCTATAGATCACAAAACATCATAAACAAAATTGTAAAAGAAATTTTTAGCATATACAAGAAATGAGTAAATGTCTATATATATGCATATATATACACATATATACATATATATATCTCCATGAATTGTACTGAAAATCTCCCTTTTGTTTCTCTCCCCTCCTCTCATTGTCCTCTCATCCAGTCACACTTTGCCCTTCCACACTCCACTTTTCCCATGACTCATGAGACTGATTTGCATGAATTATATCAATGAACTGACTTTGCCCTCTAGCTTTCAGGACCTTTGACCAAGTTGAGTACCAAAATGTGACATGAGGGAGAAAGAGAATGAAATGCAGATATTCATTCCTTGGTCCAGCCTGCCCTTAGCTGAAGATTACAACTCCTGTGGGATTCCTTTTCCAGGGGGCTCTCTCTTTCTCCAGGTTCTGCTAGCCACTCTTTCCCATGGCCTCCTTGGGAAATGGGACCACCTCACTCCAACATTGCTAAGAAATAGGACCACCCCCACTCCAACATTACTAGTGCAGAGTAATGCACTATCTCTTAGGCCTCATCAATCTACATTCTTATAAGTAATTCCTCTTATTCCAGTTACCTTTCCTCAAAAGAGCTGGTGTGTAATATCATCTTTTTGCCTGCAGGAACCCTGACTAATACAGTAATCAAAAATAAAAAGTCAAATATCCCAGTAGACATGAAGGTCAACAACAAACAATTCACAAAATAAGAAATTCAAATAGCTTATAAACATAAAAAAATTGTTAGAGTAGCTAGTAAATATATATCTCATATACATATATGAATCAAACCAGTGTTGCAATCCCATTTTAAACCTATCAAATTTTTTAAAAGTAAATAATATTACCTAGTTTTTAAAAGGATGGGAATAGAAATTTTCTCTCTCAGTCACTGATGATTGGAATTGAAATTTCTGGGACATAAACTGATAATATGTACAAAGAACACAAAAAAATAGTTCTACCCTTTGACCCAACAAATCCACTTCTAGAAAGATTATCCTCAAAAACTAATCTAAGATTTTCAAAAAGATTTATATAGTGAAATGTTCAGTAAAACATTATCTGTAAAGGTAAATTTTCAGAGATGACTTAGGCTTCTAGAAATTAGATAAATTTTAGATAAGTTGTGGGATGTCCATATACAAACTTTTAAAAATGTTCTGTTTGAGGAGAATAACTAGTGACTTTCTCTCACATCTCTTTTTGAAACTGTGGATAAGTTCTGCCTACACTGTCTCCAGACAAGGATGTACTGAGTGCTGTTTCTTATGCGAGGCACTGCTCTAAGTGCATATCATACATTCATGAACAAAGACCCTGCCTCTATGAAGCTTGTATTCTACCAGAAGTAAGGACAAGAGACAATAAGCAACATCAAATGGTAATTTTTTCAATGTAGTAGAAGAGGACAGATGTTGTAGAAGAAAAGAAGAACATGGAGTAGAGTTGAAGGAACGCCAGGGCTGAAGGATCTGGGAGGTAAGGGTGGGTTGAGGCAGAGGTTGTAGGCCTTCTTGAGAAGAAGTATGAGGAAACCTGGAGGAGAACAAAGACCTGGTGAAGAGAAGTCAAGGCCAACACCGCAGCTAGAACAATAGGCCTAAGGCAAGGATGCGTTTGCTCACTGAAAACGTCTGCCTTCTCCTGAGTATTTCTTCCAGGTTTGTGTTTCTATTAGTACCATAGGGCTAAATTATCCATGGTGGTTGGCTTGAGGATCTGTGCTTATCTAAACAAGATTATTTCCTAGGGCTTTTTAAAAATTCTGACATACATTGGAGAAAAAGTCACTTTCCTTTCCTTTTCCATCTCATCACCCAATATATATTTTGACAAGTACTTACAAATATGTAACAGTTTCTGCCTTAGGAACTGGGGCTCCCATGGTTAACAAATAAATGGAGGGGTGGGGGCCCCGGCTCTCATGAAGAAGGATATAACAAGTAAACAAGGAAAAAGTGAGAATTATTTCAAGTTCTCTGCAGAAAATCATCATAGTGCTAGGATAGGAAATGACTGAGAAGGGAAGATTGGTGAGTAGAGTCTTTTGGAGTGGGGGACGTCTGAATTAAGACCTTGAAGGATGAAGAGGTTTCAGTTTTGCAAATGGCTTAGGAAGAAGTGTTTTAAGCAGGGTCTTGAAGTGGCAATGAGCTTGGCAAGTTGATGAAGGAGGTGATCATGGCTAGATCACAGTGAGAGGGAGAAAGTGGTCCAAGGTCAGAAATTTAGACCATGTGCCTTCCAACACAAACTGGGATGTAAGAAGGAAACCCATGCACGAGCTGACATGGAAGCAAGAGAAAACCCACAGAAGTTTGCAAACATTAAAAATATGATTCCAGCTGGTTGCAGTGGCTCACGCCTTATAATCCCAGGCTGATCTCGAATCCATGGACTCAGGTAATCTTTACTTTGGAAGGCAAAGCAGGGAGGATTGCGTGAGCTCAGGAGTTCAAGACCAGTCTAGGCAGCATTGTGAGATCCCTGTCCCTAAAAAATTTCAAAAAATTAGATGAGCATGGTGTCATGCACCTATAGTCCCAGCTACTCAGGAGGCAGAGGCGGGAGGATCACCTGAACCCAGGAATCCAAGGCTATGATCATGCCAGCATTCCTCAGCCTTGAAGGCAGAGTGAGACTCTGACTTAAAGAGAGAGAGAGAGAGAGAGAGAGAGAGAGAGAGACAGAGAGATTTCACTCATCCTACAACTAGTTCCATGCCCGCCCTTCTCAGATACATGAGTAAAAAACCCCCTCTGTAGTTCAGCCTAGGTTTTCTGTCACTAAAACCAAAAGAGTCATGATTAATTTATAGATATATATAAATATGAAAAAGCCTGGAAGGAGTTACTGTACACTGACACATTGACAATGATATATCTGGGTTATAAAATTCATTTTCATCTCCATACATGGCTTAATGTATACTATTTTGAAACTGGGGAGCTCTTTGTTTCTTTTTGTTCCTATTTTCTCATCTTTCCCTCCCTTACCTCAGAGGGGCCAGCTCATACCTGGGCTCCCTTCCCTTCTTGCTCTGACATATTTGGTATAACCAAATATTAAAACCATTGTAAGAGCAAATGGAACATCTTCCACAGTCCTTCCATTAGGAGCTAGAAATAACTCCACTTGTTTATGTATTTCCAGGCTCAGGAACATCTTAAACAAAACTAATTTGGCACAAGGGCCTAGCCTTTGAAATCAAGATTTCCCCCCACTTACAAAATCAGCCCTGTAAGCAACTGGCTTCGTGGCGCTTTAATACCCATGGGTTCCTGTCCTACAGTGACTAGCAAACCTGTTCTAATGGAACATGAAGGGGAGTTGGGTGTGGATGACTGCAACATACCCTTCGTGAGATACTTCTTTTACCCAACAGACAGCCTCATGCCTAGTTGTTTGACCCGTGACCAGAGGGTCCCTCACACGGGATACGCGTTTATACAGGCAGATGCCCTTGTGGTTCTTGTCTGACGTATGTTCAGTTTATGCCTGCCTAACCAGCACTCTTGGCTATGAGCCCAGCCTTTTGTTCTCCCTGGCATCCTGTGGAAAACCTGGTCTGGGGCAGCTCCTACTTCTTCAGATGAAAGGTGCAAATTCAGTACACTAGCAGAGTAAGAAAAAAATTCAAAGATTTTTACTTACAAATCCTGGGCAGGTAGGGGACCATGAGTCAGGAGGGCAGTCCTCTGTCCCTGGGTCACATTCCCAAGAATGAAGAATCAGTCAGAGAAAGAGAGAAAATTGTTTGGCAACTGGTGGTATATATAAAGGAACAGGGTGTGGGTTGCTTAAAGTTTTGGTGGGGGTAAAGCAGGGAGCCCGGTGGGTTAGGCAGGAGAGATGCTGCTTAGTCCTTATCTCTGGCCATTAGCTTCAGCTGCCTGAGTGTGATGTAGATTTGGAAACTGTGTCAAGGGTGTCTGAACCCTGATTCTGGAATGAGAGTTGAACCTGTATTCAAAATGAATGCTGAGGCAACAAAATTGTAAGAATTCTCTATATATGGTCATAGGCGTCTCACTGAATGTCACAGCAGGACTTAAATCAATTTTATATGCATTTATGACACAATTTCATTTAGAGATAAGTGGGTTCTCCTGCCCCCAATTTACAGATGAAGGTGGTAAGTTCTGGAAAGCATAAGTGATTTGCCGAGATCAACCTTTTCAGTTATATCTTTGAGCAAGTAGAACTTGGAGCAAAGGACAAACCCGAGACCAAGCAGAGCAGCTGACTCATGGGCTGTGCCTGGCATTCTGTCTGAGTTATTTCTTGGCAGAAAATGCCACTTTGCTATCAGGACAGTCAAGTGTAGTTAGAACAAGCTCATGGAACAAAGCAGTTTAATTAAAGAAAAAAAATTAGTTGGGTTACAGTGCTATTCTCTTCAATCCAAGATGGAAATTAATTTATAATAACCTTATCTTTTATTCATGGCATGTTGCATATTTCAGAGTATGTCGGCATCCTTATATTTTTCAGTTGAATGTGAAATAATTGTGTGTTTCTAATGGGCTGCGAGTCAGTTAAAGTGCTGAAAGAACATAGCTGAGTCTTGGCTAACCATTCAGGGAAATCTGAAGCCACTGGGGAGTAGCTTCAGTTTCCTTTTGATGAGTCATGATATTTAAAATTCAGAGGGCTGCTGCAGGCTTCAAAGCAGCCCTTTCAGATTGATCACTCTACAACCTAACTCCATTAGTGGCCCAGGACAAAGAAAGCCCATTCATTTCCCCTAACAACCTCCTTCTCTTTTCTTAGACCAACCTGACAGAGCTGAAGTCATTTGGCTCTCCACCTCCCGCCGTCAGCAATGTCACTGCTGCCGTGATGGTGCTCATGGCTCCTGGGGGCAAGGTACCCAAGGACCGGAGCTGGAAAGCTGCTAAGGTCACCATGGCCAAAGTGGATGGCTTCCTGGACTTGCTAATCAACTTCGACAAGGAGAACATTCATGAAAACTGCCTCAAAGCCATCAGGCCATATCTGCAAGACCCTGAGTTCAATCCGGAGTTTGTGGCCACCAAGTCCTATGCAGCTGCGGGTCTCTGCTCTTGGGTCATCAACATCGTGAGGTTCTACGAGGTGTTCTGTGATGTGGAACCCAAGCGCCAAGCGTTGAGCAAAGCTACCGCAGACCTCACAGCTTCCCAGGAGAAGCTGGCAGCCATCAAAACCAAGATCACTGTGAGTGAACCCAGAGTCCCTCGACCCTGCTAGTCAGCCTCCAATACAAACAACGCTCTCTGGCCATTACTTAATGTTTAACATTATGGTATTTAAAGAGAAGTGGGAAAACACAAGTTTTATGCCAAAATCTCCTTGTTTTTCAATAGAGGCAACTTTTTTACATTTCTCTTTCAAATATCATATAAGCCAAACAAGATAGCTCCACTGGACCATTGGTTTACAGCTCTGATCCTAAAGCTTTTCTCCTTTTCCTCTGAGAAAATAAAAGATGACAGACAGATAGTATATGATATGAATGGCATTACTCATGGAGCCCACTGCCGTCTTATTAGCCACAAATGAATTTAATCTTTTTACATGTTTGATAGTAAAGAATAAAATGTCAAACTTTTGAGGTTCTTTCTTCTTTCCCTTTGAAATGTAGGCTTTAGCTGTCTTACTTCACCTCTTGTACCTGCTATCTTCGGTTCTAACCAGCTGTCTGCCTGTCTTATACTCAGTAGCGTGGATGTGTGGGCATGTTTTATGCTATCTGCATTGTTTTATGGAAACTTTTGGAACGAGTTATATATTGTGGCCTAGGGGTGGCTCCTTGTCCATAAATATAAAACTATGAGAGTCATTAACTTTCATAGACCCTACATAAATATTATTATTATATCTGCTTCACCCAGGATTGGGGGACAGGGATGGTGATCTTGGGTTCATACCTATTTGAGGAGAAGAATTCCCCTGTCAACCAGAAATAATCAAAAGAATCAGGATTAAGTTTTAAAGAGTTTATCTAAAGGGTTTATTCACAGAACATTCCAGTGTTTCCCAATTGGAAAACATGGACTACAGAGAAATGGGGTCAGTGCTCTGAAGTTAAATATTAAGCTCTTACTTATATAGGAAGAAAACAGAGAAATTTAGTAGGATTATAACATTTTTATACAAGGCTCATTTATGAGTTTCAACAATTTAATTACAGTTTTTCTTTTCAGTACAGCTTGTTTTCTTTTCTTTATAACTTGTTTTCATTTCCTTTCCAATTTAAAAGAGTATAACATTCCATCTTAATGTGATAGTCATGAAGTCTTTGTGTGAGAAAAGGTAATAGAGAAGTTTATCTATAATGAAGATCAACAGGAAGAAGGAAGGGGTCTTTAGTCATTTACAACATTTTACAAAACAGTGTAGGTAAGGAAGAAGGCTAATGTAACCAGAGAATCAAGAGTCACAGCTGCTAGGTTATAGCTGCCTGTCATGTGACTCAGGCCCCATAATCATATTCCCTTAAGGCTCAAATATTTTAAAATTCCAGCAGCTTAGATTTTGAATTATGTATTTTCACACCCTTGATCTTCATCTTTTCCATTAAAATGATGCTACCAAGCGACAGGTAGAATGAAAATCTTGGAGGACAGCATAAAAAGTCATCGACAGACCTCAGTTCCAATCCAAGTTGTATTATTTATTGACTATGTGACCTTTAGAAAGATCTTTAAAATGCCCAAACTTCAGTTTCCTGAAGTAGAATGGGCACAATAATAGTACTTGCCTCATAGGGTTGTTATAAGGATTAAAGGACAATCTGCTACATATAGAGCATAAGCCCAGACCCTGGCCCATGGTGAAGGGAGCAACAGGAATTGCTACCACTGCTGTGGGTATGACTGTTACTACTGTATCACTCTACCCGCCTTCGACTGCATGTGCTGTCTATCACTTGCACGTCCAACCACATACATGGACTCAATCACTATCGTGATCAAATTCAGTCCAAAACGTTTTTGGATCTTTAATTTCTACATATGCTTTCTAGGCAAATAAGAATCTTGCTAAAATTTTGCCATGACAATAAAGAGGGCTTTAAAAATTATAAAAGGCAAAATTGTAGACACGCCGCACACCTCATGTGATATGGATGTTAGGCTAAAATCTATGGCTAAAGGCTCTAGTTCAAAGATCCTTGCAACCAATCTCTCTGCTTTAAAAAGATGTTTTGGCAAAGCAGCTCATCTGCTCTCAATCTACTTCCTTTATAAATCCAGATGTTCATAGACCAGATTACTTAAAACAGGTGATGATCACCATAACAATGGCCCCCTTCAAAGAACACCAAGTGAAAAGCATCATAACATCCCATTCCTGCTTTGGAGGGTAAAAAATGTCCTTATAATTTCATATTTTTCAGTCTTGCCCGGAAAAGTGTAACAAGAACTGCATTTTCAAAGACTCTTGACTCAAGTTATTTTAACTAAAGGAACAGTTGGTGCAAAGGGAATGTTTTCAAAATGTTTATACCTTTTCAGTAGCCAACATTCACATGGTGGGCCCACTCAACCTGCGAAAGCAATAAGACTATCTTAAAAATACTTGGCTACCTTTGGAAGGCACTTCTTTTCTGCCAAAATATTTTCTGAAAAAAAACGTATTCTTGCGTTTAACAACCTCCTCTCCATCCTTTGCTTATACACATGCCTGTCAACATCCCAGGACTACAGACACTCCCTACTAATAACAGAGGAAATGGACTAACTCCTATCTCTAACATGGAGACCCACCCAAGGCAAGAAAATTCTTCCCTATATGCTGCTGAGGGTGTTGTAAGTCTACTTCAGACAGACAGACAGACAGACAGACACACACACACACACACACACACACACACACACCCACACACACACACACAGCCCAAGCCTTCCTTTTAGGATTTTAGGATAATTCCAAGCAAAAAAATTTATAGTCAGGATACATAAAGTAAGGGTTAAAAAGCATATTTCAAAACAGATTGTACAATATAATTTTAATTTGATTGTTATATATAGAATAGAAATACATAAAAATGTTAACAGTAGCAGTTATCTCTGGATGGTGGATTTTGGATGTGTTTTTTTTTTTATTTGATGACCTATATTTGCTTTTGTTCTATAATGAACACATGTTATGATTTATCAAAATAATAGTAATAAGAACAAGGAAGTCATCTTCATTAAGCATATAATCACACAGAGTAAAAGATCAAATAGTAGAGAAGGGCTTCTAATGAAAGACAACAATTCCTTTTAATTCTAATATCTGTTTCAACTGATAGCTGAGGCCACATCAGAGCCTGATGCCTAGCAGCTTAACTGTGTTTAATTTGGCCCACACATACCATTTGCAAACGATTTAATTAATTGCCAATATTTAAAACAGCAGGAGCTTTATGTAAAATATGATTTCTGGCCAATCTAAAAATAATCAAAAGATTTTTGTATATCATTAGTTGATCCTTGTGTTAAGCAGTGGCTTCCCTTACAAGCGGATGATTTTGGTGCATTTTGTCATAATCCCCACCAGCTTCTATTTTTTTCAACACTAGACTCACCTGACTAGTTTCCATTATCTTCCCACTCTCCACCCAGTTGAATTTTTGACTTCTGTCCATTTTCTTTCTTTTTTTTTAGACTGGAAAATATAGTTTATTTAGAAAGTAGATTGGAGAGAGAGAAAAAAAAGGGAATTCGCCTCCTCCAGATTGGGGAGGGGAGCCAGAGCTTAAGGAGAAGCATGGCTCGACCATAGCTCAATGGAAGCATGGCTGGGCCATAGCTTAATAAAAGCAATGGTGTGACTTCTGTACATTTTCTGTGCTGATATCACTACTTCTTGGCATACCTTATTGAGGCAGCTGACATTCTGCTAGTATCTGAGGATATACATTTTCATCCCCATGTCTTCTAGTATAGGTATAGCAACTAGTTTTAGTTGATACAACCTTTATTTTTTGTTCTATCAGGTAGCGGTAGCTTCCCTTCCCTGGAGTCCTCTGCCTTCAAGATGAAGCTATCTATTACCCTTGCCTTCAGTTCTTCCTTCTTCCTTCTACCTCCCGTCTTGTTATAATTACTTATGTATTTATCATTTCGTTTTGTAATAGCCAAGACTGAAAACACCTACACTCTCTTCTGTTACCAAAATTGTGTCTCATACTTTGTCTATAGACTGATTCACAAAGTGAAAAAAATCAATAAATTCCATTTCTATTCTGTGAACATGTCTATATTGTTCATACCAGACTTAGTGTTACACTGTAATTACATTTCCTTTTTTTTTTGTACAACCTCTTTTTCTCCATGGAGTCTGTCTTTCTCTCTCTCCTATTATTTCCTTCTGCATAACCTCCAATATTTTGAAACTCTCCACTAAATTCAGTATTCTATTAAGTCCCCTTTTGCCCTCAAAAACCTTTCTCCCTTGTCCCCTGTTCAGAGTTCCAATCAGTGTTGGAGAATAAACAAGTGTCCTGCTTTCTTGAGTCAATTCCAATGACTTCTGGACCCTATGCCTTTTCCTTTCTTATTTTCTTCTTTTATTTTGCCTTGCTCATTCTTCAATAATTTCCTCAGAAATATTAAGAAAGAAGTAAATTTTCTGAATAATTATAGCCTGGAAATTTTTTTATTTTATTCTTAAACTGAACTAACAATTTTGCTGAGTGTTGAATTCCAAGTTGCTCATTTTTTCCTTAGAATGCCGAATGCTTTATGTTCTTACCCAGAGAGAATCTCATGAACAATGCAGGTCCTATTTTTTTTTTTTTTTTGCAGATACACTGTTTTCCCTCCCTTCTAGAAGTCTTTCAATCTTTTCTTCATTTTTGGTGTCTGAAACTTTACATTGATGTGTTTAACTGTTATCCTTTTTTAAAATTAATTGTGCTTAACACGTAGAGACTTATTTTCTTCAGTTCTAGAAAATTATTTTGAATTATTTATTTGGTAATCTCACTTCTGTTTTATTTTTTATCTTATTTTCTGAAATGCATATTGGTTGAATGTTGGGCCTCCTAGACTGTTTCCCTATTTTCTTTCATCTTTTTATCACTGTATTTTTTTTTTCTTTCTAGGAAATTTCCTCAAATTGATCTTTTAACCCTTCCCTTGATTTTTTATTATTTTTTTACATTAACAATAATGATAATTTCCACAATAGCGTTTTTTGTTCTCTCTTTCTTTTAATAGCACCCTGTTCTTGTTTTGTGGGTAAAACATCTTGCACCTCTCTGAGATACTAATTGTGAAGGGTTGTTGTTCCTGTCTTTGTTGTTACTGAAATTGCCTCTTTTTTTCCCAGATCACCTTTTTCTTCTTGTTTACCTTAATCTAGGGTTTCATTCAATTTCTTATTGTCTTTTCATGTTTACAAAAGTAGTGATCAAAAGCTAATTATAGTTCTCTGGCAAGGGCACAGCTTGTTGACTGGTAGAATTTGTGTTCAAGATCAGATGATTTATGCTGGATGTGTCCTAAATGCCAGAATGTGGAACATTTTCTCTGTCATTTCTGACTTTCTAGCTTGGTGACATAAGTACCTGGTGGCACTGTATACTGGGCAGGTGGATGGGGTTTTGGGGGGCAGAGATCAATCCGTTTCCAATTAACACTCCTATTGTATGTTCCCGCCTCAATTATTGTCGATATTTCCAAACTCTCCAGTTTATGTGGGGCTCTGCAGGTTGATAGACTTCCCCTTTGGTGAACTTCAGCCAACTCTAAGCTGCAGCTTCCCCTACCCTGATCCAATGATCTCCTCTCTTCCATCAACATGATCCTCCCTAACTCTGTTGGACTCTCTCACCTTCCAAATGGCTGTCACCAATTTGCTTTGTGTCATGGGCTTATGACTATTTTAATTGCTTCATAATCATTTTAGAGAAGTCTTGGGAAGTGAAGAAGGTAAATGAGCATGGCCAGTCTGCCATCATGAATTGGATGGTTCACCACCTGCTTTGTAAACTGCTTAGCTGTATAAACTTGGCCCTAAATTTATTTCTCTTGTGCCTTAGCAATGGCCAACAAAGCAATCTGAACCCCATTTTTTACATAGACATGAGATTTATTTGGAGATAATGCTGTGTGCCTGTGTGTCTTAATGTATGCAAATATGTATTCTGGGCAACAAAGGCCATATGCTTCCATTCTAAATTCTTAAAAATTTAGAAAAAAATAAAACTCTGCCTTTTTTATGTTTCCTATACTTCATGATAATGGGAGAGAATAGATGAAGTTAAGTAAAAATTACTCTGCACTCCTAGGACCTTAGAACCAGCAGAAGACTTAGGTTCCAGACAGCCCAGTCCCAGAACAGCTGCAGCAGATATAGTCAATGGTCCTCCAGGCCAACCCTGTGACCCTGTTTATCATTTTTATGCTAACCCCCAGTTTTGATGCACTTTTGCTTCCAATCGCAGCACCTGCACCATTTTATCAAATTACTGGAGTCCACTTTCTCCCACCACAGGAGAGGCAGAATGTATACACCCCATACTCCACATCCATCACATCGCATAGCCTTTAATACCTCAATGACTGATGTTATAGAGCATGGATGCTCAGTTCTCTCACCCTGAGTCAGGACATCTTTGGACTTCCACTCCACACCCTACCCTGCAGGATCAAGCTCAACTCCTCCCTAAGACTCTCCCTGAGATCACCCCTTCCTTGGCTTCATTTTCTTCCCTGCCCTACTTCCCCCAGTACCTTAGAGCTTTCCTCCCATAGCACTTTCTTCAAGATCGTCTCCACATGAATCCTCATCTCAGAAACACTGGAAGTGATATGGGCTGAAATGACTGACAGTCTTTGTGTTTCTTCCTAAACAGCACCTTAACGAAAACCTGGCAAAGCTCACAGTCAAGTTTGAGAAAGCAACAGCAGACAAACTCAAATGTCAGCAAGAAGCTGAAGTAACCGCAGGCACCATCTCCCTTGCAAACCGCCTGGTGAGTGTGAGCCTCAGTAACCAGAGCTTTCATTATACTAGAAGGCTTGTCAAATGCCACAGAAGTACGAAATAGATGAGGACAGCTCAGCACCTCTTTGACTTGGGGGGAAATAGTAAAATGTGCTGAGATGCAGGGACTCAGTCTTGAGAAAAGTGTGGATGCACACACTCTGATCTGGTCAAAGGAGTTTTTTGATGGAGAAGGTTTTGAAGATGGGAGCACTAGATCCATCAGGCAGCCTGTGTAAGACGTGACCATGCTTACCTGCATGTATGTCAGCCAGACGAAGCATTAGAAGACAAAGTAGCATTTTGTAGGAAAATCATAACGTTTCTATCTATGAAATGCTTTATAGTAAGGGTGTGGCCGAGATTAGCAACTGAAATAGAAATGGGAAAATAATGAGACTTATTGACTTTGAGTATTTCTGAACACACACACACACACACACACACACACACTCATGCACTAAGGCTCTGACCTTCCTAAGAAAACATGTCTGAAGCTCAAGGTGGAGGTGCAAGCTCAAGGTGGTGGGGCTTATGTTACAAGTCTGTTGCTGTATCACAAATTACGCCAAAACGGTGATTTGACACAATGACCATTTCATTATATTACACATGGTTGTGGGTCAGGGATTTGGGCAGGGTTCAGCCAGCCACTTCTTCTGCTCTGTGTAATGATTACTAGGGTCACTTGGTGTTATTCAGCTAACAGTTGGGCTGGGCCGGAGGTTCCAAAACAACTTCATCACATACCTGGCACCTCAGCAGGGGTGGCTGGAAGGTAGCACTCAGCTGTGCCTCTCTCCCTTTTCATGTATGTAGTCTCAGGGTCTCTCCCTGCAATCTCAGCAGCAGGGTAGTCAGGTGTCTTACATAGTGACTCAAGGTACCAAGACCAAGTGTTCTAAGAGACAGGAAGTGGAAGGCCCCAATCTCTTAAGGCCTGGGACCAAAAACTGGCACATCACTTCTCCTGTATTCTACAGGTCAGAGCAGTCACAGATTCAAGAGGAGGGAGCATAGACACCAACTCGTAATGACAGAAGTTTTCAAAGAGTTTATGGCCTTTTTAATTCCCCATGGCTTATATTTCTCATCACATGTCAGCTAAGATACTGCAAAGCAGAGTCCACTGGATATGATTTCTCTTTGATCTAGAATCTTTATAGCACCTTCCTCACCAGTGAAGTACAACCCATACCCTTCTACATGTATTCCAGCCACTGCTGATCTATATAAAAAGCCAGACTTTTAAACCTATAGAGCAATGAATCATAGCTATTATTGAACTGAACCATGCTTTAATGAAGAGAGGCCATAACCAAGCATGTGTCTGTGGAGTCGTTCGACTGGTTTCTGTGCAGCTTTGGGATGACCAGTTTAGCTAAACAGTTGGGTTTAGAGATGGCACCTCTGGCCATGTGCAGGAAGTCCTCCAGAATTTCAAGTTGGCCTGACTTCCATTCCGGTCCCTACTTGGTTTTCAAACCAAGCCTGGCTCAGCCTCCATGAGTTGATCCTCAAGGGAAGCAGTGTGGGACTCTGCTCTAGAACTCAGAATGTTCAGGTTGGAAGCCATCCTGTCTACCAAACTAGAGATTCCGGAGAGGTACTTGGGCTTTATGGTCTTTGTGTAATCTAAAAACGGACATCAGAATGGTTGGGTTGTCAAATCCCAAAGTTCTCTCCCAGCTCTGATACAATCATTCAAGGAAAAAAAAGCGTATGTCCTAACACAGAAGCTAAGCTCCACCAGCTAACAGTCTTCTGTAGAAAGGATGACTCTCCTCCCAGGAGAGGGGTGTCCCAAACAAGGAGAGCTGTGCTCACCCAAAGTAGACCAGGGGACTTGTTCCATACATGCCCGTCCGTGTCCTTACAGGACTTCTAGCACTGTGTCTCAATTACCATGTCTATGTCTCCACCCACTGTGAATTATTTATTATGCATGGACTTGATTTTATTTATTTTCATTTTCCCAGCATTTGGAGAGGGGATGGATAAAGAAGAACAAAATCATGGACTTGGCAGCAAATTGGATAGAGTTGGAGACCATGATACTAAATGACATATCATAGAAAAAAGAATTGAATACCACATGTTCTCACTTACCAGTGGGACCTGAACAATAGTCATGTTAGCACAAGGGAGGGATCGGCAGTTGCTGGGTACTGCTAGGGAAGGGAAGAAGGGAGAAGGGTGGGGGTCACGTGACAACACAAAGGGGACCTGGTCCATTACCAGGGGGAGAGAGGGTCAGTTAGAAGCCCAAACTGCATGCAGCCTAACCTCACATCTCTATAATAAAATCAATCAATCAATTAATTAATTAAAACAAGAAAGGGCCACAGAAATGGTGTTCTGACTCTTCTTGCTATGCAGCATGCAGTGCAAATTCTCTGTGACTGAATCCACAGCTCTGTAGCCCGTGATGTGACGAGTCTCCTCTTTTCTCTGGCTTTTGAAATGATAGGTTGGAGGACTCGCTTCTGAAAACGTGAGATGGGCAGAAGCCGTGCAGAACTTCAAAAAGCAGGAAAACACGTTATGTGGAGACATTTTACTTACAACGGCTTTCATTTCCTACCTTGGCTTCTTTACAAAAAAATACCGGCAGAGCCTCATGGATGGGACCTGGAGACCCTACCTGAGCCAGCTGAAAGTATGTATGGCCTGAATTTCTCCTCATGGCAACAGCCTGTAGGCACCAGTGAGATCACATGACTATTATTGTGATCAAATCTAATAGACTATTATTGTTAACTCAAATCCTGCACACTCACTCCCGCCACCCTGCAAGCACCAAGCGTGAGACATGCACTCCTGTGCCCTTCCACATTGCCCTGCATTACTTCCCACTGCCTTCTAGGCCACCTGAGGGCAGCATCACACCTCTTAATGAGGTCCTCCATGGGAACTCTGGTCCTCTGCCCCACAGGCTGTCTCCTAGCACTCCTCAAAGCTGTAAAACCCAAGAGACACAAAAAAGAACCCTGTGTTTCTCTCTGATCTCCCTGCTCCAGAGCCAAACTTCATAGGAACAGTCAGGGGGAGTTACCTTTCCCGGATTCTTCATTGCAGCTTATCACCAGGATGACTCACAGATACCCTTAAGGAAATCGTTTCAACTGCTTCCTTCATTTATGCTCCCTTCAGTAACTATTCGCATGTGCTGGATTTTTTTGTTTGTTTGTTTGCTTGTTTGGTTGTTTGTTTTTTGAGTTGAGGTCTCACTCTATCACCCAGGCTAAAGTGCAGCAGCATTATCACAGTTCACCGCAGTTTCACCCTCTCCTGGGCTCAAGTGATCCTTCCATCTCTGCCTCCTGAGTAGCTGGAACGACAGATGCACACCCCTATGCCCAGCTAATTTTTAAAGTTCTTTTGTGAGATGAGGTCTCACTATGTTGCCCAGGCTTGTCTCAAACTCCTGGGCTTAAGCAATCCTCCTGCCTTGGCCTCCCAAAGTGCTGGAATTATAGGCATGAGCCACAACACCTGGCCAACATGTGCTTTTTTGTATGGGGGGAGGGGATGGTAGTGGCTGTACAGCTTGTTCTCTTTGTGTAACAAGGTGTATTTCACTCCCAGCTCCTTCCTCTACATCTATCCCCACAAAGGAGAAAGTGGGGAAATGCCAGTTCCTGATTAAAGCAGATTCAAAGTTGCACCTGGACCCTATCCTTAGAATAAGTCTTAGTCTCTGGGCATATCACTCATAGTCAGCAATCCACAAATATATCTACTGTATATTCAGTGTGTCCTACCACTCCACTGCATAGGGAGTACAAAAGGTGTTCAAGACTAGGATGCCTTCAGGAAGCTCACAGTCCAACTGGGGAGATTAGGTTCATAGAAGTCAGCTAGGTGAGTCAACCCAAAAGGTCATGACATAAAGGGCTGCATTTTAAAATTCGTTTGTAGGCTGATACTTAGAACACAAAATGCACTTTGTATACAGTAAATGGTTATTTTCCTGATCAGCTCACAAACTCTTACTTACCTGATGACTGGCTGAATGGTAGTTTAACAACTGTTACAGTGCTGGTGAGTAAGCATAAAATAAAACTGCTGTTTCATTCATCTTAAGCACTCGTGGAAAAAGGAAGTTGTTGAAAGGACTATCGCTAACTGAGTGAATGAAGATGAAGAGCTCAATGGCAGCTGAGAGAAGACTTTCCTGGCTTTGTTTGGGGTTCTTAAGCATGCTTGTGCTGTGGGCTTGTTTGACAGTCTAGTAAAGCCTGTAGATCCCTTCTCAGAATAATGCTTTTGAGTACATAAAATAGAATGCATAGGATTATGAAGGGAAAAATTACATAGAATCACACTTCTAATCTTAGGACAAGAATTCCCAAAGGACTGATTTCCCTTTAGAGGTTTGCTTTATTATACAGCCCTGGCCATCTGTGCCCTTAGTAGATACAATTAAAGGACTAGGAGGTGATTTAGGGTGGTTTTTCTGATGTAACCAGGCAAAACAAACTGCAGAGAGGAGAGAGATGAATGGAGTTAAAAGAGTATTTGTCTGAATCTCAGAAGCATTATGCTAAGTGAAAGTAGCCAGACACAAAAGGTCATCTATTATATTATGTCATTCAGATTGGATATCTGGAATAGCAAAATCCATAAAGACAGAAAACGTATGAGTATTTCTCAGGAGCTAGGGGTAGAGGAAAATGTCAAGGACTGTTTAATGATTATGGGGTTTCCTTTTGGAGTGATGAAAATGTTTTGGAGGTAGATAGAGCTGATGGTTGCACAACATTATAAATGTACTAATTGCCAATGAATTGTGCACTTTAGAATGGTTAATTGTATGTTCCGTGAATTTTACCCCAAATCTTTTAAAAAAATGAGTCACTAGTGAAAGAGATTGCTTGAAAAAGTGAGTTGAGAGAGGCTAACAGAGAAGAAAAGGAAAGATCTAATGCACACACAGGAGTCCTGAAAGGGATCAAGGGAGGCCATAGGGTAAGTTCTCAGGCCCGGGGCGTGCTGCCCAGTTTCCCCACAGACCCCAGCAGACAGATTTGCAGGGGGAGGTCCTAAGAGCAGCCCCAGGAGTGGGGTGTTTGGAGAAGGGAAGAGAAAAATGCATTCAGCTCTTTGCAAATTGGTGAAATAGATGCAAGGAGAGAGTGTTTGTGCAGGCTGGTGCAAACAGGAGCAAACCCATGAGGCATGGGGTCTGGTGCTGGTTCACAGAGCATGCAGGAGAAACACAGAATTGTAGCAGAGAAGTAACACTGTTAACATGGGTGAGGGTGTAGAGGCGCTTTCAGATTAAAATACAGGTACTCCAGTAGAAACTTGTCTTAGGCAAATATACCAAAGGACAAACAATCAGTCACACGGGCTGAATTTCTGCAGTTGTTCATCATCAAGAGAAAAAAAACTATGAGGACTTTAACAGAACCTTCTTCCAGAAATAATCACACAGCCAGAAAAGCACTCCCCAGGGGGATGTTGATCTTTCTTTTAAAGGAATTATGTCATTTGGTGAGATACTGTTGAGAAAGCATTCTTCCATTCCGTTCTGAGCATGGAGTGGCACTTCTTCTTTGTCAGACTCCCATCCCAGTTACCCCGACCCTGGATCCCCTGAGGATGCTAACAGATGATGCTGATGTGGCTGTCTGGCAGAATGAGGGCCTCCCTGCAGACCGCATGTCCATGGAGAATGCCACCATCCTTATCAACTGTGAGCGCTGGCCACTCATGGTTGACCCTCAGCTACAAGGCATCAAATGGATCAAGAACAAATATGGTGAAGACCTCCGAGTCACCCAGATTGGTCAGAAAGGGTAAGTGGCTGAGCACAAAAGTTCTCACCTATGCCATTTGTGTAGGGATATATATATAGAGAGAGAGAGCAGATTTTAAGCTGCAGTGGAACATGTCTAACCTACCCTCTATGAGGCTTCTCATGTTTCTCTTTCAATCTGGAGATGTCTGGGTACTAAGTCTCTGCTTTTCTTTCTCATTAGAAATCATGTGCTACAGTTTTGTAGCCCATTCAAGGGTCCTTTCTCCACCATCCCTAGTGTTCCTCCTTCCATCTCTCTTTCAGTACTTCCTGCCTACCAAAACTTCACATCCATTGTCAGACAATTCTGTTTTACAAATTCTTCCTCACATTTAGCCAAAAGCTACCTCCCTTAGCTTTTCTCTGCTCATTATTCCTATCTCTGCCCCAGAGCTATGTAGAAAAAAACCTAAGCTCTCCTCCTGAGTCACAATCGGACATTTCAATTGGTCATGGAGTCACTGAGTTGGTTATGAAACCTTCAGAGCCCTTGATATCTGCCATGTGGCTTGGCACATGCAAGATGGGAAAGTTGCTACATGAAGAGACATGAATGGCAGAGAGAATATCTAACCAGCATCTACTATGCCTTGCTGGGCTGGGCCTCGGTATCTCTCACTCACTGCTTCATTAGCCTTGTTATAGCTTAGCTTTGTAGTTTCAGTACTCAGTTCCTCTTCTGTGCCATTAGGATACATGGGGAAAACAGGATGGGGCAATGGGAGAGAAGAGGAGAGACAGACATTATTTATTAGGGAGTTGACGTGTCAATCTTAATGTGGGGGGCTTTATCCCACACGCTTTCCTTAATCCGCATAGTCAGTAAGGTTAGTGATTTGGTTCTATTTCACATCTGAGGAGACTGAGGTTCATAGAAGTTATGTAATTTCCCCAAGACTACACCATTATAAAAGTGATGGAAATGTTGCACTCATGTTCATTGCAGCATTATTCACAAAAGTCAAAAGGTGGAAACAACCGAAGTGTCCCTGGGTAGATAAATGGATAAACAAAACATGGCATACACAGACAATGGATTTCTGTTGAGTATTAAAGGGGAAAATCATGACAGATGCCATGACATGGAAGATTCTTTAAAATGTTATACTGAGTCAAATAAGCAAGTGACAAAAAAAAAAAATACTGTATGATGATTCACATATGAGGTACTTAGGGTAGTCAAATTCATTGAAACAGAAAGTAGAGTATAGTTGCCAGGGACAAGGAGGGCAAGGTGAATGGGGAGCTGATGTTTAATGGGTACAGAGTTTCAGTTTTGCAAGAACAAATGAATATATAGTGGTAATGGTTACACAACAGTGTGACTGCACTTAACACCACTGATCTATACACTTAAAAGTGATTAAGATGGTAAATGTTATGTATATTTTATCACGATTAAAATACATTAATATATTTTTTAAAGCAATAGAGGTAATATTTGAACCCTGGTCGTCCTCATGAAGAAACCCAAGATTTATCTACTAGAGTGGGTGTCCACCAAAGTGAGGTTTACTGCTCTGGCCACATGTCCCAAGCATGCTTGCACAGAGGTCCAGGATCACTCAGAGTTGTTTAAATCAAACATGTAATATTAAAAATAATCATTAAACCAGGAATATATTGAATATTAGAATGGGTTCCTCTTGTAAAGTGAACTTTGTTGAGAAATAAATGCCTAGGTACAACATGATATATTTTTATCTTCATCTCTAGTCACAGAATAATCTAAAATCCTAGTCTTCTCTCTCAAACTTTGATTAAAATATTCCTGTCTAGTTGACTGATAAATTTGTTTTAGACAGAAGTGTGTGTTCTTTCTGCTCATTGCTATGTCCCTACCTAAAATACTGACCAACACATCGTAGGTCCTCAAGAAATATGTTAAACTCTCTTTTAACTACTTTTTAGTTGGTTGATTTTCTAGATTTGTTGCATATTCTTTGTGATATTGTATGATACATAATTTTTATAGTCTTTTCTTATCATAGGAATGAAAATCTATTCCAGCATCTCATTTCATTTTATTTGTGGGTTTTGACATACTACATGCAGTTCATTTTATTTTAGTTTTCATTTGATCAGGTTTGTCACCCATTTCGTCTATCTGTAGATAATGCTTAGAGAAGTCTTTCTTCTTAAGGACTTATTTAAATATTCATTTACATTTTTTAGGGGTTTGTTGTTGTTGTTGTTGCTTTTCTTTTTACATTGAAATCCAGTCAACTTAAATACATTTTAAGCCACTATAAGAAATACAGACTAATTTTCAAAGTGGTTTGCTATTGTTCCAATACCATCTATTAAATTTTTCATTTTTTGCTCAATTTATTAGAGCTGCCACCTTACTATATATTGCATTATTTTATTAAATTGGGTCTTTATTATTTTCTATTTACCTAACACATACCAGCCTTTAATTATTTAGTTTTATATTTAGTAACATTTATTGTGGTATTTCTCATTACAAAAGTAATGTATCATCATTTGAAAGAAGACAGGGCTGGGGAAGGAGTTACAAAAGACAAGGAAATAAATAAAAACTTCTGGCCAGATGCAGTGATTCATGCCTATAATCCCAGCACTTTGGGAGGCTGAGGCAGAGAATCCCTTAAACCCAGGATTTCAAAACCAGCCGGGGCAATATAGTGATACCTCATCTCTTAAAAAAATTTTTTTTAAATTAGACAGGCGTGCTGGAGTGCACCTGTAGTCTCAGTTACTTGGGAGGCTGAGATGTGAGAATCACTTGAGTCCAGTCAGTAGAGGCTGCAATGAGCAAGGATTGCACCTCTGCACTCCAGCCTGGGCTACAGAGTAAGACCATGTTTCAAAACAAAACAAAACAAAGACAAAAACAATAGACTTCTATAATTCATCTTTCAAAAGCACTGCTAACTTTTTGGTATATTATGTCCTTTAAGACTTCTTACTACATTTCTGTATTGTTGAAGTTACATAAAATATTTAGTATCAGATCATGTGAGTCCCTTCTCTTCTTCATTATCATTTTTCCTTTACCATTTTTATTGTATTTTTTAAGATTAACTTTAAGATCTTTGGTCAAGTTTTGTAAAGTATTATTGTTATTTTTGTTTGAATAATGTTACATCAATCTTATAAATTGATTTAAGGAAAATTGACTTATTTACGTACTTATTAAACTCTGTATAGCAGTAAAAAGTTAAAAGTAATCTAATATTTGTTAATTGATTGATGAATTAAAGTGTATCAATATGGTCTAATAACCAATCATTAAAAATTTCATGGAAGAATGTTTATAACATGGAGAAATGTTTATAATATATTGTATGTAGAAAAACCAAGTTGTGAAATAAAAGTACCATATGAATCCAATTATATAAAAATAGAACTCGAAAATATAATATATCCAAATATACACAGGAAATACCAAAATGTTAATGACAAATGAAGGGATTGTGGTTAATTTTCGTTTCTTCTTCATATTTTGTTATTTCTATATCTAAAAAATGTGTAAAATCACATAAATATCACTTTACAAAGAGAAAAACGTAGCCGCTAAAGACATTCCAGATAGCTGTGCTTCCAAGTTTACCTCTGTGCCTTAGAGGCCACAGGTGTCTTGTTAATTGGCCTCTGAATCCATGCCTTGCCACAGGCTCAGACTGCCAACTCACACTTGCTTCCCCAGCTACCTTCAAACCATAGAGCTTGCCCTGGAAGCTGGAGATGTGGTGCTGATTGAAAACCTAGAGGAGTCCATTGATCCTGTTCTGGGACCCCTGCTTGGGAGAGAAGTCATTAAAAAAGGACGGTAAGACTCAGCTGTGTTGCTGATCCTTTGTGAGGAGCTGGTTCATAGCCCCTGTTAGAACCATGGAGAGTTCTACTCTTCTTAGAATTTCCTCTTCTCAGCTCATGTCAAGTAGCTCCCTGCAGCACACTCACCTTTCTTCTAGCAGAAGGTTATTTAGCTGCTTCTGTCTCCTAGAGAAAGTTTCCTGGAATAACTTTGCTTCCATCAGTCAACGTCCTCGTTGACTTCCTTCTTAATTGCCACAGTGCGCAATTTGGAGGAACTTTAGAAGGAAAGTGGTCAAGAAGCAGATTGACATTTAAGCATGAGCATTTTATCCAAGTTACTCGTCTGAGTTCCGAGAACTCAGCTCCTTGTCAATTTGATGAGCCTCTGCTACTTTGAATGCCGGTACATGATCAGGCCTTAGCAAGTCCAAGGCAGGAGGAGGAGGTGGTGTAGAGGGGAAAAGGGAGGAAGGAGAAGGGCAATCAGCTCGTATGATGTGGAGCGATAATTATCATGAAGGGTTGTTTGACTCAGGAGCCTCACCCACTGTCCAGGTCACATAAGTTGCCTTTACATGCCCTTGGGTTATACTCATTTACTTGTTTAATCATTTTCATCCATAGAAGTCATTTCCTTGTCAGCCGTGAGAAAAACTGGCCCTATTACTAATTACTAGCCTATAAAGCACCTTTATGTAAACCACAAGAAGGTTCCACTTTCCTCTAAACACTTCACTGCCATCTGCTGGAAATTTTTTAAAATATACTAATCTACATCAATGTGATGGTAAAAATCAAACATGGTAGCCATGGGACAAATCTATCCCCTTCCACACCTGTTCCCCACATTGTGGCAAAGAAGGATCCCAGGGCTCATGCTAAATGTGCTTAGGAGGAATACATTTGAATACAGCAATAATATTATCTTGCAGGAAAAAAAGAAAATCTAGAATTCTTTGTCTGATCAAATCTCACAAGAAGGTACCCACTTTTACATGAGTCTGTATGTTCCAGTTTCATCAAAATTGGAGACAAGGAGTGTGAATACAACCCCAAGTTCCGGCTCATCCTTCACACGAAGTTGGCTAATCCTCACTACCAGCCTGAGCTGCAAGCTCAGGCCACCCTGATCAATTTCACTGTGACCAGGGATGGCCTGGAAGACCAGTTGCTGGCTGCTGTTGTCAGCATGGAGAGGCCAGACCTGGAGCAGCTGAAGGTATGTCAAGTATTCACTGAGGGTGGAAGGAAGAAAATACTGTCTCTAGGTCCTGCAGTGCACCCTACTCTGGAAGAAGTGAAAAGGAGGCTGTTTTTCCAGGACTGAGTAGGGTTCTGCCAGACCTTGGAAGAGTGCCCATCTAGCAACCTGGGAAAAGAAATGGCAAGTTGAAAGAAATAAAAGCAGAGTACCATATGTTCTCACTCTTAAGCGGACTTTGAACAATTATCACAATACTATAAGAAAGGAATTGACAGTAGTGGGAAACTGCCAGGATGGGGGGTGGGACTGGTAGCTACGGAAAACTGCCAGAGGAGGGAGAGGCACACCTCCTCTACAAGGGTACCTGCATAATGAATATTTGTATACCAAACCCTGAATTGTACCCCATATCTTAAAAAAAAAAAAAGATAGAAAGAATGAAAGAAGGAAGGAAGGAAGGAAGGAAGGAAGGAAGGAAGGAAGGAAGGAAGGAAAGAAGGAAAGAAAGAAAGAAAGAAAGAAAGAAAGAAAGAAAGAAAGAAAGAAAAAAGAAAGAAAGAAAGAAAGAAAGAAAGAAAAAAGAAAGAAAAGAAAAAAGAAAGAAAAAGAAAGAAAGAGAAAGAAAGAAGGGGCAAACTGAAGAAGAGAAGCATAAGACAGCTAGGAGACTGGACGCTTCTATTGCTAAGAGCAGGTCTGGCACAGGCTGTGAACATGAGGGCCTCTGGTCACACATGCTCACATGCTAAAACTAAATGATATGAAACTCTGCAAGAGCAATAGAAATAGGTTCAACCACTGTAGGGTTGTGTCTTGGCTCAGACTAACATAACAAAATACCATAGAGAAGTGACTTAAATAACAGACATTTATCCTTTCACAGCTCTGGAGGTTGGAAATCTCAGATCTTGGTTGGTTTCTGCCTTGCAGATGACCTCACATGACTTCTTTGTGCATGACTGGAGAGACAGAGAATGCTCTCTGGTGTTTCATCTTAAAAGAGCACTAATCCCATCAGAACTTTACATGTTCTAATCCTTTCAGAACACCCTTATGACTTCATTTAAACTTAATCAATGCTTTAAAGGCCTCATCTCCAATACAGCCTCATGAGAGTTAGAGCTTCAACATATGAATTTTGGGAGAATACAATGCAGTCCATAGCAGATAACATGTTTTTTATGCTCTCTTTAAACATCATTATATGACATAGGCCCAAAGTTCCAATGCATGTGAGACTGAGTTCCCGGCTCCCTGGAACTCTGCTTCCAGCAGTCATTCATTCATTAATCAGATACCTGTGGTACACCAACTCTGTTACAGGCAATATTAGAAGTTCGGAGGATTCAACAGTCAGCGACATAGTTTTAAACCATGTCCCTGTCCTCAGAGCTTACAATCCAGTTGAAGATCACAGAAAATAAGAATGCAAACAAAGACATAATGTCATTCAGAGAGTGATGAGAATTTTTAAGAAAATAAAGCAGGATAAATAAAATCGAGCCAGGCTCGGTGGCTCAGCCTGTAATCCCGTGCCTTGGGAGGCTGAGGTGAGTGAATTGCCTGAGCCCGCGGGTTCGAGACCCGCCTGGCCAATTTGGTGAGACCTCATCTCTACAACAAATCAAAAAACTAGCCGGGTGTGGTAGCGCGTGCCTGTAGTTCCAGCTACTTGGAAAGCAGAGGCGGAAGGATTGCTGGAGCCCAGCAAGTCGAGGTTGCAGTGGCCAGGAGCGGCCACTGCACTCCAGTCTGGGCGATAGAGTGAGACTCCAACTCAAAAAAAAAAAAAAAAGAAAGAAAGAAAAGAAAGCAGGATGATACTGGAAAGCCAGAGGGCTATTTTAAACTGGAGGTCAGAAAAAGATTCTGTGAGGAGTTGACATCTGAGCTAATTCCTAAATAATTCTAAAGTCTCTGGGCACAGAGCAATCACAGCAAAGAGAACAGCAAATTCCAGTCTGAAGGTAAGATAAAGATATGTGTTTTTAAGAAACAAGACAGGCCAGGATGACTGTGGCTAGAACCTCCAAGAAAAAGTAGAGTTGTTCCTTTCATGAATACAAAGGCTATATAAGGGCAAAGAAGTTACAGTCACCTGAAGTTAACCCCCCAACACCCAGAATAAAAATTAAGTGTCCCATGCTTTAGGATATGTAGCCAATGATCAGAAAAGGAAGATGAGGTGAGATCCACTTGAATGTCAGCACCCCATTCCAGATTTGAGGAAGGTTCCTGCAATGATCTTGTCTAAACTGTGTAGGACAATTTCTGCTGATTTTTTTAAAAGGCAATCCATAGGAAATCCCTTCATTTAGGGGTAGTAAAATAGTGCTAGGACCCTCCAAGGGACTAAAACTTGACCCTACCCTCTAGTCACAGAAATAATTTTCATGTAGTGAATACTGACTGCCTCAGCATTGTGCTAAGCATGGCACAAAAGTCCTGGGAGTAGGGACTGGGATCCTGCCTACTGAAGTGATGGAAATGTAAAGAGGGTACACTGTCCCATGGCCACATGTCTCACATATGGTGCCATTGGACTTTGACACACCTGCCTTTCTCTTCTGCTCATGGTCAGAAGTCCTCATCTGCTCTCCCTCCAGTTTACCATCTCTAAGGGAAGGGACTCTGGCCCCATCAACATTCATTTACTAAGACCTGAGAGGAGGACCTTCTGGGCATCAACACCTAACTCCTTGTTGCCTGATATTTGCAGTCCGATCTCACAAAGCAACAGAATGGATTTAAAATCACCCTCAAAAATTTGGAAGACAATCTTCTCTCTCGCCTCAGCTCAGCATCTGGGAACTTCCTGGGAGAAACGGCCTTGGTAGAGAACCTGGAGATCACCAAACAGACTGCTGCAGAAGTTGAGGAAAAGGTAAAATGACTCTGACTAGTCTGGGGAGGCAGCCTAGGCTGGGCTGCTCCTGCACTTTTCTCTCCTCTTAGTCCCTGAGTGTGACTTGTGGGAAAGACAGAGTAACAGGTGGCTTTTCCATGGAAGCAAGTTTCTTCTAGAAGGTCTGCCTAGGCAGGATTCCTGAAATGACTACCTCATGTGCCATTTTATGGGCTTCCCTCCTCTGGAAAAAATGCTTTTGATATCTCAACTCCACAAAAAATGCTATGAGCTTAAGTCTGCACAGGGTCTGGTTTTCCATGCAAGGAATGCTACCTCAAACTGTACACCTCAGATAGTTTGTGGGAATGTACTGAAAAAATTACATTGCAATAAAAGTTGACTGGTGTGGGCATGATTGCATCCTGAGAAAACACACCATACTGCAAAATCTCACAAGTCTGATTTTAATGAGAAAACTTCGGTGAGTTCCCAGGACACTCAGCTCTCAAAAGCCATATCATTCTTGGAAATAATTACACAGCTGTATATATAGTTTCTTACTTTATTTCACAATGTTTGGAAGTATTGTATTCCACTCTGTGGGGACTAGAAGATGGGGCTTGATGGGGAAGGGGCCCAACTCCTTAATCTTTCTCAGCAGACTGCCAGACCTACACAGGGCCATTTGTAGTCTCAGTCCTGTTCCTGGATTAGAAGAGCAATTAAGATCTTGCTTCTCAGTAAGATAGGGTGTGTCTGTAATAGTGTCCAGGAATGATATGCTTTTGAGGGAAGACACTTATTGCCAGATTATTGGGATTCCTCCAAATGTGAAAGACTTTGTTGAAAGACAAGGTGGGAAATATGAAAAGTAATGATGGGCAAGGCAGATAAACCAGGTCATACCCATTCTGGGATAACAAACAACTCAGGCTGGAGTGATGAGACTGAACAGAAGAAGGTCTAGCCTAGCATTGGCTCAGCAGCTACTGTGCAAACACCAGGTCTTACTGCCATTTATGGTCTCCATCTCTAGATGGGGACATGAGAGTTTGTATCGTAATTATGGCAGAGGTTCTACTGCCCTGGACAAAAGAGACAGAAGGACAGAATCCGATTAACATGAAGGGAGTAGGTCAGAGATGGACTCCAATGATCTCTTCTTCCTGATTATTCATTCCTTTTTTCTTTATCGTTTTCTTTAAAATCAATGAATATTTATTAAGTAGCTGCTGTGTGCTAAGGGTTGTATGAAATTTTTTTTTTCCTTTTGTTGTTCTTTTTCTTTCTGTCTTCATTCTCTTTCTCACTCATTTACCCCATGAATACTTATCTGGAGGTTTTTATATTCCAATGCCCATGGTGAAAGTTGGGGGTACAGCGAGGAGCTTGCTAGAATCCCAGGTTTCAAAGACTTGGCCCTTTAGGGAAGAAAGGCAAATAAACAGGCAAAACAATGATGAGGGCTGAGGTAGTGGAAGCACAGGGAACCATGAACACATAAGAGGAGGACTCAACCCACATTGGGTGAGGGGGGAGAGGTGTTTCTTTTGAGTGTAACTGGAACATAGAGAGAATGGGGCCTGGAAGTGGTCACTGGAGATGAGTTTCCATTGTAAAGGGCTTTAGAAATCATGCTGAGAAGATTGGGCTTTGCCCCAACAGGAGTCAGAGATCATTAAAGAGTTTTGCACTTTTTTCCTCTTTAAACAAGACAGTATCATGGATTATAGGAGATGTATCAATTCAGATTGCGGTGATGGTGTCCTAAATTAAAGTAATGGCGACAGCAGCAGAAAGAAGTGGGCAAATTTAAGCACTATTAAGTAATTACAATTGAAAAAATTGTTAATTAATTGGATATGATTATATATGAATAAAAAAGTATTCAAGGAAGAAACTCAGTAATAAACATCTGGTTTTAGATATTGGTGACATTCCTTGAAAGAAGGTGAGCAAAATTGGGTTTGAGGGTGAGAAGAAAAGATGGTTTCAGTTTGTGTTGTATTGAGTTTGAAATGCCTTTGAGCATGCTTCATAAATTTTGGGTATCTGGCCTTGGCTGGTGATAAGGTGCTGAGAGTTATCAACAAATAGTTGATAGTTAAACCCTTGGGAGTGAATGAAGTCACCTAGGAGAATGTATGCAATGATTAGACTGAGAGTAGAGCACTGAGGAGTACTAGATGTTTTAAGAGAAATACAGAAAGTGTACAGCATGAAAAAGAGCAGAAATTTGTGAAAAGGCAGGCAAATAAAGAATTATGAGATAAAAAATTTCAAAAAGAAGGAACATCAGTGCTGTTGGATGATACTGAGAACTCAAATAAGATATGACTGAGATGTGACCATTGAATTTTGCATAAAGGAGTTATCAATGATTTTGATGAGAATGGTTTCATGGAAGTAATGGAAGCAGAAGCCAGACTGAATTAGAATTAGAGTGAGAAAAAGGGAGTGAGTATAGATAACTTTCTAAAGAAGCCAAACTATGAAATGGTAAAGAGAAAATGTTGGACCCTAAAAAAGACATAGGATACTTGGAGGCATCGTCCCCAGAGACGGTAGATACCTAAACATTCAGGCCACGGATTTTAAAAACTTATATTTAGAAAGATGGAGAGTTGGCTTCCAATGTGATACAAGATAAGGAGCAAACATGAGTCTAGAAATGGTTCATGAGTCCATGTGGGCAACTGCAATGAGGGGCCAGATAATTAATGAAATAGAGGGAGAGACCAAAATTAAGGTAATTCCTTCTCAGTGGTCTCTTTATAATCTTTGAAAGGTGAGTCAAGTTCATTTGCAGAGAGTGAGAGAATAGTGGTGAGATATGAGACTTGGGGAAAGGGATGAAGATTTACAATAGCTGTTGAGGAAAAGGGGAATAAAAGTTGACTAGAGTCACAGAGATTAATGAACAGCATTAGGGACTCAGGTGAGATTGAAGACTATGAGGCTATAATAAAACCAATCTGACCAATTGTGTGAGTTTTATTTAGTTCCACTCCCTTCTGAGAATCTTTGCCTACTAACTACTGAATTTAATCAATTCATATTTATTAATATTAGTAATATAGTTGAATTTCTTTCTATTTTAATCTGTGTTTTCTATTAGTCATATTTTTTCTTTATTCTTTATTACTTTTTCTTGATTTTCTTTTACCTCATTTTATCCTTTGTTGATTTAAAAGCTATTAATGGTTTTATTTTAACTTTGCTTTAATTATATATGAAAAAGTATATTTTATTTTATATATGTTACATATACATATAGTACACACACACATGCGCGCGCGCACGCATGCATGCACAGACATAAAACAAAATCTGAAATGAAGCAGTATATCTAAGCTCTTCCAAAACAATGTAAGGATGTTAGAGTACTTTAACTCAGATCTTTCCTCCCATCTTCTGTTACTGTTTTATAAAATAGCTTATGGCACTGTTATTGCTGTTGAGAGTCTGCTTCAGTCTAACACTATTCCTTTTTAGGTACTTTATCTTTTCTTTCTAGTTGCTTTTTAGCATTTTCTCCTCATCTCTGATGTTCTGAAATTTTACTATATAGTGAGAATTTATGTTTATTTATCATATTTAAGAATGATAAGCTTCTTCAAAGTAGACGCTCTGGCCTTGCATCAATTTTGAAAAATCCTTAACTATTATAGCTTCAAATATTGCCTCTCCCTCATTTTCTATATTCTCTGCTTATTTCTGTTAGATGTATTTTAAATCTTCTCATTCTACCTGCCAAGTCTCATCACCTTTTATATATTTTTCATCTTGATTTGTTTTTTCATCTATATATTTTTCACCTCTGAGCTGCTTTTGTAACAACTTCTTATGATCTTTCTTCTAGTTTGTTTATTCTCTTTTCAACTCTAGACTATTATTTACACTTTTTTCATTTAAATGACTATATTCTTATTTTTAGATGTCCCAGTTAGTTCTTTTTCAGATGTTCCTTTTTAAAATAATGTTCTTATTTATGCTTTGTTTTATATCTACTGCTCTTTTTTTTTTGAGTTGGAATCTCACTCTTTTGCCTAGGCTGGAGTTTTTTTTCTTTTGAGTTGTAATGTCACTCTTTTGCCTAGGCTGGAGTGCCATTGCACACTCACAGCCATCTAGCGTCACCCTGCTGGACTCAGGCAATCCTTCTGCCTCAGCCTTCCAAGTAGCCAGAACTACAGGCATGTGCTACCACACCCGGCTAATTTTTAAAAATTTATTGTAGAGACAAGGTCTCACCAAGTTGCCCAAGTTGGTCTCGAACCCATGGTCTCAGGCAATCCACTCGCCTTGGCCTCTCCAAGTGCTAGGAATACAGACTGAATCACTGAGCCTGGCTCTTCCGCACTTAAACATACTTAGTTAATGGTGAGTTTTAGGTTGTTTGATCACCTCCAGTTCTTGGGCTGCTAATCCTTCTGGGGCTTTTTTGTTTTTGTTTTTGTTTTGGAAGGGGTCTTCTAACTGTTCCCTTTGGTGACGCTTCTTCCTGCAGTTTGTAATTGTTTATTCTTCTTTCTCTGGATTTCCACTGCTTGGCATCCTAGGTCATTTCAAGTCATACATATTTTTTGCATTTCCATGAAGTCTTCTTTCTCATTAGAGACAGAGCGAGGAGACTTGCATGGTCCATACTTCCCAATTAGAAGAGCTAATATCTTCACCCTTGTGAAGGACTAGAAGTGTACCATCTCCTTTCATACTCAAGCTCTATTAAGGAATATCACATAGTTTTTCAACCTCTACCCACTATACCCATCCCAGTTCATTCCTGCCCACACAGAAATATGTCTACTGACACAGAAAAGACAAGTTGACTCTCAAGAAGCTCTGGTTGGTTTGGACAGTAGATTGCTATTTATTTTCCCAACAGGTCCAGGAGGCCAAGGTGACTGAAGTGAAAATCAACGAGGCCCGAGAGCACTATCGTCCAGCAGCTGCCCGAGCCTCTCTGCTCTACTTCATCATGAACGACCTCAGCAAGATCCATCCAATGTACCAGTTTTCTCTCAAGGTGACTTACACCTGGAGTTCTTCACATGATCATAATAAAGTAGTGTACTTGCCACTGGAACTCTCCATGAGAGTATATCTATGTGCTTTATTAGCTCTGGCAGACCTGTAAGATCAAAATCAAGAAAGCAGCTACATTACCTTCAGACCCACCACCATCATCTCTTTAATTGGGTCTTACAAGACTCATGGGTAACAGGCAGGATCAGAAGGGAATGCCACAGCAAGTCTTGACCTCATTCATTCACTATGTACATGCCATATCGTGGATGCTATGCTTACTGAACGCATGGAAGAGAATATCAAAGAAATATGAGAAGCGATCCCGTCCCCAAAGAGCTTAAAATATAATAGAGACAATCTAATGTGAGTGTGTCATTTGTATTGATTAAAGACCAAGGCAAACAATAATAATAGGCCAACTTTAAATTGCTTTTCTTATTACCCTAATATCCCCAAAGCTCCTGCTTTAAAGTTGTTGAAACATTCCTAAAAACAAAGATGTTAGCAAATTGTAAGTGCTGACTAAACTTATCTTACTCATGAAAAAATAAAGACTTATAAATTTTAAGTGCATCTCTGAAAGTTTATCTTTCTTCTTTAGGGAATTCACCAAAAGACACAATTGAAGAGACATTAGGAGGTGGTGGGGAATTTCTGAACAATTTCTTTGGTTTGACCCAACAAAAAGGACACACACAAACACACACAAAACGAGATGGGGGGAAGGGAGAGAGAGAGACAGAACATAAGCATATAGATACACAGAGATCACACACACACACACACACACACACACACACACACACACACACACACCATATATTTCAGTTCTGTGAAGTTTTCAGCTAAACCACCATGTGGAGGTCAAGATGTAGGGATAGTGATGAGAAAACTTGCAAAGACTCATCAAATGACTATAGAGCTAATAGGAAGAAAAACAAAGAACTCCTGAGAGTTTCATCATTACCGAAAGGAAAAAATCATTATTTAAACACGTTCTCAGTGCCTAGTATACACAAGGGTCAGTTTTAGATAACAAAATTGTACAGAGCATTGCTTGTACCCCTCAAGAATTTTGTAATCTACTGGATAACATCACTAATCCCAGCTGGTTATAATTGGCTGTGTCTGGTTTTTATTCAGGTAGTTATCCGACAAAAACTTACTAGATTTAATTTAATTATTTTGGCCACTGAACATTTATTTTTTGCTAATCAAAGATGTAGGCTCTTCTCTATAAACCCCATAGCAATGTAATAATTTACATTAGCAAGTTAAGAAAAGAGCCAATAGCATGTTTTCCTGTTACTGGTGTCCCTTATTGGCAGTATATGCTGAAAAACACCTCTATGGGCTGGAAAATTATAATACTCTTCACAGGTAAGACTTCTAGTACATACAAAAAAATAACTGTATAAATTACCAATGTTCTACTTTCTGTCCCCAGGCCTTCAGTATCGTCTTCCAGAAGGCTGTAGAGAGAGCTGCTGCCGACAAGAGCCTTAAGGAGCGAGTGACCAATCTAATAGACAGCATAACCTTCTCTGTATACCAGTATACCACTCGCGGGCTCTTTGAGTGTGACAAGCTGACCTACCTTGCCCAACTCACCTTTCAGGTAAAAGTAGATTGAAGGAATTACCAGAAAAGAGGCCATTTTCAGTGCCCAACCAGCAGGTATTAATAAACTTCCCTCCTTCACCATCACTTCCCACAGTATGTCCAGACTATATCTAGGTAGAGGCGTCAGACAAGAAGGTCCAATATGACACATGCATGCTGCCTCCACCATTTCACACTCGTGGCAGGTGTCCTTAATCCATCATTGCACTTTTTTGTTGTTGCTGTTGATCCTGGGTGATCTAAGGTCCTTCCAACATAGCCCTCCCATAGCCACTGCCACCGATCAAAACAGGCACTGAAGATGAAACTAGATGGTCATACCAATTACTAGATGCTCTTTGAGATGCCATAAGATCGTGGGTAGCATATCCATCATGTTTATTTACCTTTCGATTGCAAATGTACTGACCCAGTCTTCTTCTAGAATGAGAAATTACACGTGTCTTTCTATAGCGTTAGCAGCCTTGGCCTTACAAAGTTTTTAACAACTTTCATTCTTAAGGGCTTGAGAAGCAGGGACTTTCAATGCTGCTGCATCTTTCAAAAGAAACTCCTATCTTCCAGATATTCTTAACATCAGAGAGCCATGAAAATGTACTTTTTTGTGCATACCCCTGTAATCAGTTAAAATTGGAATCTTTTTCAATATGCAAATTGAGAACAGATTATCTTGAAGGCCCTTTCCAATTCTATAAGTTAGATATTCTATCATCACTTGTGGACTGACTCTGTTTGCACCTTTCAAAGCCTAAGTTCATGGGTGGGTGCTATTTTTGCCTCATTCCTCTCACCCAAGTGACAGCGTGGCCTTTGTTTTTGTTTTGTTTTGTTTTCACCTTATTTCATTATAAAGATGTGGGGTCAAGTCAGGATTAAGTACGTAAGTAATGTATGTGCAGGCAAAGTTTGAGCCTCCAACTGGTCCTCCCTTCCCCTGGTTTAGGATCAGGTACCCTTAGTAATGTTATGTGCCCCCTACTTCCTCCCTCCCCTGGCAGTGTCCCACAACTGTTGATCCCTCCCTTATGCAATTGTGATTAGTGCTCAGGTCCCACTTATGAGTGAGAACATGTGGAATTTGGTTCTTTGTTTCTGTGATAGATCGCTAAGAATGATTGTTTCCAAGTCCATCCAATTTGCTGTGAAATCTATGATTTTGTCCTTCTTTAAGCTTCACCTTTGCAAAAAGAAAAAAAAAACTTGAATCCCACCTCTCGGTGTGAATCATTAACTCTAAGTAAAATTCCCATCCCTTCACTTCTCCAAGACCCAATTCAAAAACTGTTTACAAAAATTTAGTCATATTAATCTACCCCTCCCTTGTTGGTCATTTCCCTATCCTGGAACATCTTTAGTGTCATTGATTCCTATCTGCATTTCTAGCTTGCATATATTCATACATTACTTTGACACTCTCCTCAGATCGTGTCATCTGTATGTGTCATCTGCTCAATCAGATTGCAGGAATCTACTCCATGGCATTTATGATTGACACATAATAAATGCTTGTTAACCAAGATATGGTTATTTGTTGTGTACATTTAAGTTCACCCTGATACCTGGAGTGGAAACAGATGGACATAGAAGTAGCATGTAATTGTAATATACACTTTCTTCTACTCTACCCTCATTAAACAACCAAAGTTGATGGGCAAACACTAGTATTAGAGGCAGCAGTAATTACACTGAGTGACAACTCCTAAGATCTCCAGGACCCTGTGGCTACCACAAGGTAAAAAAAACACAGTTTCTCCACCTTACAGATTCTCCTCATGAACCAGGAAGTCAATGCAGCAGAATTGGATTTCCTGCTTCGATCTCCAGTGCAGACAGGCACCGCCAGCCCAGTGGAGTTCCTCTCCCACCAGGCCTGGGGAGGCATCAAGGTCAGTACTGGTCACTAGAAAAAAAGTCAAGTTCTCATCTCTCAGAGTTTTCCCCAGACACTTGTGCTCATGAAGTCGGTGGGGCTCTCTTAGAGTTCAAGCACAGAGCCATGTTAAACATCAGTGCATTTCCCCCCTTTTCCTGCACCCTCAGAGCAAGCTCATCCTTCCTGGGCCTGCTGAGAAGCAGGTGCATGCTGCTGTGTGAGGGTTCTGCCCTCAGGTTATGGGGGAACAGGAAGTTCCTGTGAGCTCCTCTGAGTCAGCTGAGTTGCCTTTCCCCTGCTGGGGCTCAGGGCTGAAACACCAGCTTCTCAGTGAGTCCCTGGATTTGATGTAGAAAGGCTGCCACAGCATTACCATGAAACAGATGCCAGGGCTCTGTTCAGTCATCTTCCTGTGAATCCCAACTCTTATTCAAAACAAGGAATGCATTTTGGCCTGGGATGCTCAGCCGTGGATAGTAGCTCCCATTTATTGAATGGCTTGGAAATACATTACCTCATTTCATTCTTATGTCTGCCTAAGCATTGGATATTATTTGTTCCCATTTAACATATGAGGAAACTAACTGAGGCCACACAGCTTACAAGTAGCAAATTGACACAACTGTTGGTCTGTCTGATGGCAAAGCCTACTTTCATTCCATGTTCTACTGTTCAGCTTTGTTTAATTGGGATTCCATGAATGTTAAAAATATTTTTTAAATAAGGTCCTTTCAGCAGGAACCATGCCTGCATTCACAGGATCTCACATGATGCCTGACCAGAAATGTTGGCTGAGGGAATCTCCAACTCCAATTGTGTAATTACCAGAGAGTTCAGACCCATACTCCACGTGGGCAAGTACTTGTGGCAGGTGCCAGTACTGTGTGGGAAACAGCATCTGCATAGGATAAATTGTGTTTATGATCTTTCATGTTTGTTGCATTTTGTAGATGTTTAATAGCACAAAGAAACATGAGTCTAAAGTAATATGATTGGCTTTCTTCATTTATTTTACTGATTTTTAAAAATCTTGTGGTAATTATAGATCCACAAGTAATTTTAAGAAATAATACAGAGATATCCTTTGCACCCAGTTTCCTGGAATGATAACATCTTGCGATACTAGAGTACAATAACACATCCAGGAAATTGACAGTGATATGATACACTAATCTTATTCTGATTTCATGAGCTTTGCATGCCCTTCTATGTGTGTATAGTTTTGTCACATGTGTAGATTTGTGTAATTACCATCATAGTCAAGATACAGAAAGTTCCATCATTACAAAGACCCTTCATGTTGGCCTTTTATAACTACAACAATCTCCTCCCTCCCCCAGTTCCTAATACCTGCCAACCACTAATTTTTGTCATCTCAAGGATATTTTCTCAGTGGAACCATGCAATATATAACCTTCTTGGATTGGTTTGTTCAGGCAGCATAATTCCCTTGAGATCCATTCAAGTAGATTTGCTGTATAATAAAAACCTAGAACTTAATCATGTATATGCATGTTGTCCCCTACAAAGTAGTCATCTGAGGAAATTCTAGGCTGACTCCACTAATGCTACCATTGCTCAAAATAGTATTCTGTCTTCTTTTTCACAATCTGCATTGTTTTAATCAACTTTAGGACTGTATCTAAATCAGGGGTTGTCAAACATTTTCTGTAAAGGGCTACATAGTAAATATTCAGACTTCGCAGGTGAGACTCTGTAGCAACTACTCAATTCTGGCAAAGTCATACAGTATGTAAATGAATGGACATGGCCAAGTTCCAATAAATCTTTATTTATAAAAACAGGTGGTGGGCCAAATTTGGCTTGCAAGCTGTAGTTCTCAGATCCTTACTCTAAATAACAAAGATGTAATTTGATTTTTATTTAACTTCATGTGTCGTTCTAAGTTCAATCTACTGAGTGAAAAGGGAAATAATACATTGGGGGAAAAAAAAAAGGGAGACTCCATTCATAACAATAATCAAAATCACAAAGTTACAAAATACCTAGGAATGATTATAGTAAATGCAGAAATGTGACATACCATCCACTTTCCTAGGTTATATAAAATACAAATGAATAGATACTCTAGAGTAACACTGTCCAAAGAAATATAATGCATGCCACATGTTTAATTTTTATTGTTCTAGTAACCACATTGAAAACTGTAAAAAGAAATGGATGAAACCAAATAAGATTTTTAACCCAATATAGTCAAAATGTTATTATTTAATATGCATTCAATATTTTATATGTTTATACTAAGTCTGAAAACAGATGTGTAGTTTTTACACTAATAGTTTGTCTCAATTCAGATGTTAAATTTTCATCAAGAATATTTATATTTATATTTTTTTTAAATTTAGAGTTAAAACAGTCTATTCATGTACTCAAGTTGTTCTAAACATCTTTAGAAGTTTCCCAAGTACTAAAACATGTTCCAGTTCTTACACTTGAATTTTAAAACAATTAAAATTAAGTACAATTAAAAATTCAGTCTTAGTCCCAGTGGCCACATTTCTTTTGACTTTTGTTTTGTTTTTCGTTTTTCGAGTTAGAGTCTCACTATGTCACCTAGGCTGGAGTACAGTGGCATACTCACAGCTCTCCGCAGCCTCAGTCTCCTGAGTTCAGGTGATCCTTCTGCCTCAGCTTCCCAAGTCACTGGAACTACAGGTACACACCACCATGCCTGGCTAATTTTTGTTGTTTCTTTTTTTTTGTAAAGACAAGGTTTCACTATGTTGCCTAGGCTGGTCTCGAACTCCTGGACTCAAGTAATTCTCCTGGCTGGGCACGGTGGCTCAAGCCTGTAATCCCAGCACTTAGGGAAATCGAGATGAGAGGATTGCCTGAGCCCAGACCAGACTGGCAGCTTGGCGAGAACTTGTCTCTACGATAAATCAAAAACAAAAACAAAAAATTAGCCAGGCGTGATAGTGCACACCTGCAGTTCCAGCTACTTTGAAGGCTGAGATGGAAGGATCACCTAAGCCCAGCAGGTCAAGGATGTGGTGGCTATGAGCATGCCACTGCACTCCAGTCTGGGCAACAGAGTGAGACTCCAACTCAAAAAAAAAAGTCTCCTACCTCGGCCTCCCAAAATTCTAAGATTACAGACGTGAGTCACTGCTCTCAGTCTGGTCACATTTCAAGTACTCAATAGTCAGTCATGGTCAGCAGCTACCTTGTAGGACAGTATGGCCCAGAACTTGAGAATAATGATTCATGGTCTGATGCCCTTATGGAAAATAAGCTTCCGAAAGCAGTTCTGAATGAACCCATTTGCAGAACTAGAGCAATAATGGAGATGAACTAACTAATACAGGCTCTGGAGTTAGACATTCCTGAATTCAAGCTCATGTTTGTGTATGTGGTCTCTGGAACGTTGTCCTATTCCTCTGAGCCTCTCTCTCATTATCTGCAAAATAGTCGTCATCATACCTTTTCTCACAGGGATATGAAAGACACAGAGTAAATGTTCAATAAATGGAAGCTGATTATGATTATGGTCATTGTTTTTGTTTCCTAGAGCTGCTATAACAAAACACTACAAGCCTAGTCACTTAAAACAACAGAAATGTGTTCTCTTATGGTTGTGGAGGCTGGGAAGTCTGAAATTAATGCATTGACAGGGCCTTGCTCCTTCCAGAGCCTCTGAAGGAAGATGTTGCCCTCCCTCCTTTCAGCTTCTGGTAGCCCCTGGTGTTCTTTGACTTGTGGCACCAAAATCCCACTCTCTGTCACCATCTTCACATAGTCAGTGAAGACACATAGCCACATAGCCACACACACATCTTCTCTCTGTGTGTCTCTATGTTTCTTCTCTTTTTATAAGGGTGCAGGTCATATTGGAGTAGGACCCACCCTAGTAATGTCATCTTAACTTGATTATATCTACAAAGGCCCTGTTTTCAAATAAGGTCACATTCACAAGTCCAAGAGGTTAGTTTTTCAGTATATCTTTTTAAGGGACACAATTCACCCCATAACAGTTATGAGCATTAATTACCCATCTATAAAGTATCTACATGCTGTGGTTGATATGGGCTGAGGCTGATAGAATTTGTCCAAAGAAAGAATAACTTTCAGTAACTGTGGGTTCCCAGGTGGGACCAAGTCCAGCTGCCATTCTCTGTATTGCCCCCACAAAGCCCTCTATAACAAGGGTCATAAAGAATAAATGGCTCACAAGCACTCTTTAATGCTTTCATTTTACATAGCTCAACTCAAAAGCTACTTGCACTTTAGTTTCATTCCTCTTTTCACAAAATGGATTGTTTGGTTCTTTGCTTTGCTTCGCTTTGCTTTTTTGTTTTGTTTTGTGGGCTAAGCTCATCTGACTGTTCAAAGACTTTTGCCAACAAGTGAAGTTTTATCTCTCTATATGAATTTATTACATGGAGCAGCAAAGTCCAGACCCATCAAACTCAAACACAGCACAGGATGTGAGCAGGTGAAACACAATGCATTATGTAGTACACATTGTCGAAGCCTTTGATGAATGCTCTTTTAAGTGTTCAGTTGGATTTTAGCCCAAAGAAACTAAGTATAATTGAATAGAACATGATTTTTAAAAAATTTTTTAAAGTATTCTATCTAATGAGGAAGATTGATTGCCTTGTTTCCCCAGAAGAACTAATAAGCAGGTAATGAACATAATCTTTGTGATAAAATACTGCTTTTATTACTATCGTTTGTAAGGATTTTTAAAGTTCCATCACATGCCCAAATTTAAGGTAATGGGCATGTTCTGTTCTTCATTAGAAAATCTCATTGGTGATGAACGCCTTTGTTAGCCTTTGAAAGGCCCCTCACTACCACTCTGTTTGCCAATTTAGCTCAGTTGTATTTTGCCACACAGTCTAAAGTAATTAGGTTAATTAGTCACTTCCATTTAGCTTATTAGAAGGCTAGAAATCCCTTTTCCTCATTTGGAAGATTAAATGTTGCAATTGTGTTCAATCCTGAGCTCCAAGAAAGTGTGTTTCAGACCCAGTCCTGGCAGCTGGGAGCTCTGATCACAGTGTAATTTGCTCATTTTTGTGGAGACGCCAGAGGGGGTCACAGGACTTCAGAAGGGTTAATAATGATGCAAGCTGGGAAGAGTGGGTGAGTGGTTGCCTGGAAGAAGATGAAAGTTAGCTCCTACGCTTAGAGAGAAATAATTACAGCAACTGTAGCTTTCTCAGCCTGTCAAGAGCCCTCCTGCTGGCCAGGCAGATGTCAAACCTTATTAATCGAGCACTTCCTAAGTGCTGGGCAGCCTGCTAGGCCTGAGGCATACAAATACACCGTGAAAGTTCTTGCCCGCAGGGAACTCACAATCTTGTGGGAGTAACAGACAAGTAAACCAGCAATTGTGATTCAATAGCTATAGGAGCCCCCAAGGAAGGACAATGGAGGGCTTTACAGGCTACAAAGCACTTGTGTCTACATTAGAGTATGAGATATGGCAGACCAAGATTCCTTGGCCTCATTTTCCAAAGGAAAAAAAAAACAAAGCTCACAAAGGTTTTAAAAGGGGGTCCAAGTCCCTTCACTTATAAGTGGTGGTTCTGGGGCCAGAACTTCTGTCTCCCAGTGCCACCTCCAGCCTTCTCCACACCACCCCACACCACTCATCAACATGAATGAAGATGTGTTCCCTTCACTAAGTGGTCAGGTGAAATTGGAAAGCCACAGAACCCCTGTGAAAGGACATATAAAAGCAGAACATGTGTGTATCCCCGTGGGAGAGGAGCCTAGGCAAACCCAGATCAAGTGTCTGTGTCCTTTTCCTGCTGTAGCCTTCCCTCGTCACCAGTAAGACTCATCTACAATGGTCACGCTGCTTCCTCTCAAGCCCTATGCTCTCCCTCCTCCCAGCTTTGGCTCTTTTTGATGCTTCCAGTAAAATACCCCTCCCTTCACTCTACCTCTATCTCTGCCCAACAGAATTCTACATACTTAGCAAGATCTGCTTCTTCTTCTTCTCTTAGTAGACTGCAAGCTCCTTGAAGACTTGGCGGTGTTGTTGTTGGTCATTCTTGTATTCCCAAGTACCTGGCATGTAGTAAGCATTCCATAAATGTCAAAAGGGCCAGGTGTGGTGACTTACGCCTGTAATCCCAGCACTTTGGAAGGCCGAGGCAGGAGGATTGCCTGAGCCCAGGAATTCAACACCTGCCTGGGCAACATAGTGAGATCTTATCTGTATTAAAAATTAAAAAAAAAATCAGAAAATGAGACAAGCGTGGTGATACATGCCTATAGTCCCAGTTACTTGGGAGGCTGAGGTGAAAGGATCACCTGAGCCCAGATGGTCGAGGCTGTGGTGAGCCAGTATCACATCACTGCACTCCAGCATGGGTGACAGAGTGAGAAACTATCTCAAAAAAAAAAGTCGAAAGAACAAATGAGTAAATGAATGAATTCCAATAACAAGAATGTATTGAATTTCTTAAAATCTGTGGCACTGTGGTTTTAGACATACAGTCTAGCTTTTAATCTCATTGGCAATCCCATACATACAGGCAGAGTTGAGTCATGATGGCAGGACTGCAGGGGATTAATTGTCTAAGTAAGTGATGTTGATGTGGGCAGTCTAAAGAAATAAGATGAAACCCCCTACACCCAAAATGTGGTTCCAATATAAAGAGTGATGATGTGACACACATACCAAGGGAGTGAGAAAAGAGTTTATTACTCAGATAATGAGGCTTTCTAAAGAAAGCAGGGCAGTTCCCAAGGAGTCTGAAATGTCTTGAGAGAGTCAGGAAAGGAGACTGCCTTGGAGTTATATGGTGGTTAGATGAGGCCGGGATGAAGGTTTCTGTGCATGGACAGGGGCTTACAATTCTCTAGCACCAGATGTGGGGCAGAAGAGAAAGTGGAAGGAATAAGGTTTAGAAGTAATCAGTGATCAAATATTTAAAAATTAAGTCACGCCCTTTATTAAATATGTCAACTCCGTGAGTAGCTCTAAGTTGTCTACAAAAGGATAGGTAGGAAGTCTGAGTGCTCTAGGTTAGGGAGGATGTGCCCAAGAGAGGTTGCAGACTTTTTAAACTGGACTTTAACATCTTGAGAACCTTAACAAATAATCATGACCGACACAAGAAAAGGAAGAAGTAGAATTTGTTGGAGAAGAGAACAGGATTTTACATATGGTAGAAGTAGTATGAAGAAGGAATTTTGTTGGAAATGAGTCAGGCCCATTTCCAAGGTTGGAGGCAGATACTCTCAGACAGATCAGGACAGAATAGGATACCTGGTTTGCTAGACAGATTGAAGGGAGGCACCAAATGAAGAGATTTGTTTCCTGAGTTATGCATTTGGACTTAATCCTTCTAAAAATAGAGAACCCATGGAAATGTCAAGAGTTGACATTAACACAAAGTCAATGAATGATTCTAGAGACATTCTGAGAGATGAATTGACAGGGATTGGTGGCAGAGTAAGTTTGGGGATAAAAGGGAGAAGTCAATGATTTTAGGTGTCCACCTCCATGAGCAGAATAATTATGATGCCTCTTCTTATCCTTCTTTTCCATGTAATATCCTGCAGGCAGGTGTGACTCAGTCTCTGCTACTAATAATATCCCAAATACTGTATTTGCTAATCCCTGCCTATTATTGGGGCAGTTTGCTGAGGATGAACTGATCAGAATCCCTCCTTCTCCCTGATTTTTCCCAGGGAAAGGTTCAAATTTCCAGATAAGAGTATCAATGAGACAGAATTATGTGTGTGAGTACAATGAGTACAATACCATCTTGCCCCTCAATTGTCAACACAATGCAGATGACAGCTTTACAGAGAAACTACATTTCAGAACAGAGATTCTCTGACATTTTTCCCAGGCACTTTCATCAATGGAAGAATTCTGTAATCTGGATCGGGACATAGAGGGATCTTCCAAGAGTTGGAAAAAATTTGTGGAGTCAGAATGTCCTGAGAAGGAGAAGTTCCCACAGGAGTGGAAGAACAAGACAGCCCTGCAACGCCTCTGTATGATGAGAGCTCTGCGGCCTGACCGGATGACCTATGCCATGCGGTAGGGAGCAGAGATTGGCGGGAAGACCAGGATAGGCATGGGGCAAGGGCAATCTCAGGGTGGCCAGACAAGCAAGACTGAATTCCAAGGCCATGTGTATGTGGTAATGGATGCCTTTATACCAACATCCCAAGTCCCATGAGGCCTATTGCTCTGTGTATGCCATGTATTTTCTCAATATTGGACATTTTGGAAAGAGATGCTAATCATTATCAGCACTGGAAAGGGTACTGATCACATCTGATGCTTTGGGAGATGATGGAATTCAGAGAAAAAATGGAGAAATTATCCTTAGCAGGAAGAACATTTTTTTCCCTGTGAACAAGGGAGAGGTGGGTGTGGTTACAATTAAAGTGGTAAATGGCTGGCAGAAAGTTGAGAAAGATTTTGTCCGACTGCTTCTAATTTCTCTGAAGTAGGAAGCAAGATCATCAGTTGAGTTTGTGTGGAAGGGAAGGTGGTGGAGCTGTTAGATATTTGAGGAGAACAGAGAAGATTTTAATTAGGATCTGTGGTAAATGGGAGAGAAGGCTGTTCTAGGAAACTCAAAGAATTCCAGGTAGCATTGAGATCCCACCTGCATTTCAGCTGGGTGCAGTGACATGCACCTGTAATTCCAGCTACTCAGGAGGCTGAGGTGAGAGGATCACTTGAGCCCAGGAATTTTAGACCAGTGTGGGCAACATAGTGAGATCCCATTTCTAAAGTTTAAAAAAAAAAAGAATGCTGCATTTGTAGTGGCACTAATCTTTACCATTAGATTATTTTCTTCAGATACCCAGATGTAGAGTCAGCATCAAGTTGATGCAGAGCCCGTGTCATTTCAGGTTGGTGTTTTGAAAGAAGAGTGTGGCAAGGGAGGTGAGGATGTTGGCAAGAGAATGACTACAAGTCAGTCCACGCAATCTATAGAGTCAGGAAGCAGACTAATGGTTTTCTGGGGTTGGAGGATAGGAATTAACTAAATAGGCATGAGAAAGCTTATTGGTATGATGAAAATGTTCTAAAACAATGTTATGGCAAAGACTGTACAACTTGTTAAATTTATTAAGAATCATTTAATAGTAACTTTAAATGGGTAAATCTTATGGCATATCAATCATACCTTAATAAAATTATTTTTAAAATAAAGAAGAGGCCAGGCTTGGTGGCTTAGCCTGTAATCCCAGCACTTTGGGAGGTGGAGGTGAGTGATTGCTTGAGCCCGTGGGTTCAAGACCAGCCTGGGCAACTTGGCGAGACCTCATCTCTACAATAACTAAAAAATTAGCCAGGCGTGGTAGCACCAGCTCTTTGGAAGGCTGAGGCAGAAGGATCGCTGGAGCCCAGCAGGTCAACGCTGGGGTCGCCATGAGTGTGCCACTGCACTCCAGCCTGGGTGACAGAGTGAGACTCCAACTCAAAAATAAATAAATAAATAAAGAGAAAATTGTAGTCCATGGAGTCTACAGTGGATTGGAAAGAAGTGATGAGAGTAAGAAGTGATGATAGAAAAATACCAGGAGCTCAAGATACCAAAATTCCTAAGTTTGTACTGGCACCAATACAGGCAAAGAATAGGTGACATCAGAATAAATTACTAAAAGAACTGTTTGGATAGACAGCGTGAGTCAAAGAGTGGGATGTTTCCTTTTTTTTTTTTTTTTTTGAGTCAGGTTCTCACTCTGTCACCCAGACTGGGGCTGCAGGCACTTGCCACCACAAGGGACTTTAAAAATTTTTTCATAAAGAAGAAGTCTTGCTATGTTGCCCAGGCTGGTCTCAAACTCCTGGGCTCAAACGATTGCCCCGCCTCAGCCTCCCAAAGTGCTGAGATGACAGGCATCAGTCACTGCGTCTGGTCCATTTATGTTTTCTGACATAGAAAAAGTCCCCAAGTAATGACGAGGATAAGACCACAGAATTAGGAGACTGAAAGGGGGAAGAAACAAAGGTCACTTGAGTTGAGTTCACTCAAAATCTAGAGGATTGTCCACATGGATCATTGATGTTGACAACACCCAGGCTGAAGGAGAGAAAGTCAGTAAATGAGGAGAGTGACCAAAGGGACAACAGATGACATGGATGTGCAAGGGGTAGTGGTGATACAGCCAACAGAAAAGAGCCTCGAAGGAGCCATGAGAGTATAGACGGAAACAGCAGTGAGCAGTGAGCAGGAACCTATTCCCACCTGCCAATCCTTAGCATATCAAGTGTAGGAGAATGAGACCAATAAAGAAGACTTCAGAGAAAATAGTGTCCTTGGGGGAGAGTGGAAGTCCCAGTTAATGCCAGGAGTTGGGCTAAGTATTCAATAAGTGGTTGCAGCTATGTTATGTTTAGCATAAAATGGGACACTTTGGAAGAGAACGTCAGTAAGGAGAGTATATGAAAGGAGACAGATAATGAGAAAGCATGAGAGAATAGAGCACTGTGGGGCCTTAAATCTTGGGCAGGATGACAGATTGCTGGGATATAGAGTATAGAGGAGTTAGCTACCAACACACCTTCAGAAGGCATTGGTCCTCTCAGTCTCCTGATGAGTAGGATGATGTGAAAAGATACTAGGCTCCCCAGAGGGAGTGGATGGGGATTTCAGAAGGAGCCAGGATCCAAGAGAGCAGCCTGGAAACTAGCAGAACAGGTTGTAAGTGTTGATGTAATAAGTAGTAACTTGAAGCCCGTCCCAGCTCTGTAACTACCTAGCCCATGACCTTGAGCACATCCTTTCATTTTTATACACCTTTATTTCTCAAATGGTATCATTTCCTGATTTATATAAGTATATACGTACTTTTTTCCGGCAGAGATTTTGTGGAGGAGAAGTTAGGAAGCAAATACGTGGTGGGAAGAGCGCTAGATTTTGCAACCTCATTTGAAGAGTCAGGACCAGCCACTCCCATGTTTTTTATCTTGTCTCCAGGACTGGACCCACTGAAGGATGTGGAAAATCAAGGTGAGAAAAGTTTCATCTTGGAGCAAGACTACGACGGCCCCATGCCCTTTCAGTCTTTGGGTCTATTGGTTTCTCTTTTCCGAATTCAAGACCACCTCTGTGTGGTTTTAGATTCTGTATGTATCTGTGTTATCAAAACACCAAAGGTTGGTCAAGGTCCTGTTGCTCACCACACAGAAAGACAATTACTGAGACAACAAGTATTGCCAGGGAAGAAGGCTTTTAATGGAGTTATATCAGCCAGGAAGAACAGGAGATCAGTCTCAAATGTCTTCTTAACCAATTGAAATTGGGATTTATATAGTGGGAGAAGGCATGTAAAACAGAAATTAGGAGGAGGTAAGGAAGCAATCTTATTGAGTGAGCAGTCTGGGGTCTTATTTTCTGGGTACAGTGATCTGGTAAGTTTTAGGTCATTGTCTGAGGGTCAGTCTCCTGAGGGAGGAACTCAAGTAAGGCAAATGTGAGTCTTGGGTTTTAAGACTGGGAGAGTCAATTTTTATTTATTTAAAAAATAAAAATGAAAATGAAAATCAGATCTGTGGGGATATTGGGCCAGTACCATCTGTTTGGTACCCAGGTTTCAAAGGACCAATTAGATTAACTATATAGTAGCCCCTCCATGTACATGGAGGGTTGGTTCCAGGACCACTGCATATATCAAAATTCACTCATACTTAAGCCCACAGTGGGCCCTGTGGAACATGCATATACGAAAAGTCAGTCCTCTGTATACGCAAGTTTCGCATTTCAAATACAACTGTTTTTCACCTGTTTGGTTGAAAAAAATTAACGTATAAGTGAACCCACACAGCTCAAACCTGCATTGTTCAAGGGTCAACTATACTTTCTTTTTCTATATTATTTTATTTTATTTTTTTTTTAATTGACAATAATTACAGACATTCATGGGGTATAGAGTGATGTTTCCATATATAGAATATGTAGTGACAGATCAGGTCATTAGCTTATCCACCATCTCAAACATTTATCATTTCTGTTTTGGGAGCATTCACTATCTCCCTTCTAGCTACTTGGAACTATACATTATTGTTAACCATAGTCTTGATGCTGTGGCATTTGTGGCTTCACTGACTAGGGAGAGACTGCTCCTTCCAAAGCTAGTCAATTCTTAGAGATAACAAAAGGTTCTCCTGGGAGCATGCTTGTTATATGCAAGCTAACCATCCAGAGTTCACACTTCCAACCTTCTCCTTTACCTAACTCTCACACAGCAAGCCAGTATCCCCCCGCCCCCATCCTAAATCAACCCAGAACCAGGTACCAGATAAATAGGGACAGTCCCTATGCCCCCAAACCCACCAGGATTACTCAAATTAGCCAATCCTAAACTGTTTCCCCTGCTCTGACTTGTGTCTCTCACAAAAGCCTTAATAAAGTCTCTGGCCTCGGATTTCTCCTGCTCCTTTCTGCCTCCTGACCAACCTCATGTTACCCCTCGTGGCTCTGCATGCCATGGAGTACCCACTACTCTCAGAAAATGTGAGTAATAAAAATCTTTCAGTGGCATTTGCCTCTCCATGTCTCACTCAGCCACTTCCATCGATTAAAATCCCACAGGTAAAAATGAGACATCCTACTAAGACATCCACCAAGACAGTCCTCTTTCTCCCAAGTTTTTCAGCAGTTTCACCGAGATGTTGTTCACAAACCATACAATTCACTCATTTAAAGTGTTCAATTCAAAGCATTTTAGGACATTCACAAGGCTATACAACCATCACATATTCTATGTTTAGAAAAACTTTACTTTCCCAAAAAGAAACCTATATTCATTAGCAGTCACTCCCCACTGCATCTCACCACCTCCTTAGCCATCAATTTACTTTCTGCCTCTAAATATTTGCCTGTTCTGGACATTTCAAATAAGTGAAGTTATTTTTTAAATGTATTTTTTTGTGACTAACTTATTTCATTTAGCATGTTTGCAAGGTTCAACAACGTCATAGCATGTGTCAGAAACTACATTCCTTTTTAAGGCTGAATAGCACCCTTGTATGGCTGTACTACAGTTTATTTCTCCATTGATCATTTGGTGGATATTTGGGCTATTTTATCTTTTTGCTGCTGTGAATGATACTGCTATGGCCATCAACATACAAGTTTTTGTGTGGACATGTGTTTCCACTTATCTGGAGTGTATACCTTGGAGTAGAATTGCTGGTTCATATGGTAACATTATGTTTAACTCTTCAAGGAGCTGACAAACTGTTTTCCAAAAGAGCTGCGTCATATTACGTTCCCACTAACTATATGCAAGTTCCAATCTCTCCACATCTTCTCCAACCCTTGTTATTGTTCATCTTTTAATTATAGCCACTATAGTGGGTATAAAGTGGTAGCTCATTGTGGTTTGGATTTGCATTTCCCAAATGATGTTTTATATGCCTATATGACATTTATGTTTTTCTTTGGAGAAATGTCTATATAAATCCTTTGCCCATTTTAAAAATTGGGTTATTTATCTTTTTATTGTTAAGCAGTAAAAGTTATTTAAATATTCTAGAAACAAATTCCTTATTAGATATATATGATTTGCATTTTGTGGGCTTTCTGTTCACTTTGTAATGGTGCTCTTTGAAGTATTTTAACTGTAACTGATTTTTTTTTTCCTTTTGGTCCCTTGTACTTTGGTGTTGTGTATAAAAAATGATTGCCTAACCCAAGGTCACAAAGACTTACTCGCCTTTATTATCTTCTAAAAGTTTTATTTTGAGCTATTACATGGTCTGTAATCCATTTTGAGTTAATGTTTGAGTATAGTATAAGGAAGGGGCATAGTCTTGTCCTTTGGCATTTGGGTCTCCAATTGTCCCTTCTCCATTTGTTGAAAAGACTATTCTTTCCTGATTGAATTGTCTTGAAAACCTTGTCAAAAATGAATTGATCATTCATGTAAGCACCTTTGTAGACTATTAATTCCATTCCATTGATCTTTGTGTCTATCTGTATGCCAATAACAATTTTGTTTACTGCAGCTTTGTAGTAAGTTTTGAAATAAGGAAGTATGAGTCCTCCAACTTCCTTCTTTTCATTTGTTTTGGCTACTCTGAGTCCTTTATATTTTCATGTAAATTTTAAGACAAGCTTGTCACTTTCTGCAAATAAATAAATAAATACAACTCAGATTTCAATAAGGATTGCACTAAATATGTTCAATTTAGGAAGTATTGCCTTCTAAACACTATTAAGTCTGGCCCATGACCATAGATTGTTTTTCAATTTATTTGGTTTTCTATTTCTTTTAACAATGTCTGTTTTTAGGATACAAGTTTTGCTCTTATTTTGTTAAATTTATTCCTAAGTGATTTTAAAATTTCTGTTGTAAACGGAATTGTTTTCTTAATTTCAATGTTATTGCTAGTGAGTTTTTGTATATTGATTTTCCATGAACGTATGCATCAGTTCTAATAGTCTTTTTGGCGAACCCCTTAAGATTGTCTAGGTACAAGACCATGTCATCTGCAAATAGAGATAGTTTTATGTCTTCCTTCCCAATCTGAATGCCATTTTATTTCTTTTTTCTTACCTAACTGTTCTGGCTAGAATTTTCAGCACAATGTTAAACAGAAGTGGCAAATTTGGATATACTTGTCTTCTTCCTGATCTTAGGGGAAATAATTCAGTCTTCATCATTAAGTATGATGTTAGCTATGGATTTTTGTAGATGTCCTTCCTTTATCATATTGAGAAAATTGCTTCCTATTCCTACTTTGTGTCAAAAAGTGTTGTATTTTGTCACATACTTTTTCTGCATCTATTGTGGTAATAGCATACCTGTTTTTTCCTTATTCTATTAAGACAGTATAATATATTGATTGACTTTTGAAAGCTAAACCAACTCTGCACCCCTGGGATCTCAATCAGTTCTAGAGTATAATTCTTTTCATATTACTGAATTTGATTTGCTAATATCTTATTGAGGATATTTACATGTATATTTACAAGGGACATTGACTTGTTAGTTTTTTTCCTTACGATGTGTCTCTGTCCATTTTGGATATCAAAATAATACTAGTAAACAATACATCAGAATGAGTTGAGAAGTAGTTTTTCTGCTTCTATTTTTTGGAAGATTTTGTGAAGAATTGGTATTAGTTTTCATCAGCCCTTGGTTGAATTCACTGGTGAAGTCATCTAAGCCTGAGTTTTTCTGAGTAGGGAGTGTTTAAGTTACTAGTTCAAACTCGTTACTAAATATATGTCTATTCAGCTTTTGTATTTCTCTCTGAGTCAGTTACTATAATTTGTTTCTATTTGGATCTATTTCCATTTCATCTAAATTATATAATTTGTTGACAAACACCTCTCAAATTTAGATATCTAGGTTGAAATGTTTAGCTCCTCTCTTGGATATGTTGTAACTAAAGACTATCAGTTAAACTTAATTTTTTTATGTCATTGTTTTTAGATAATTTCTTTTGATTTCCCTCTGTGCAGGCTGAGGCTTTTATTTTCCAACTTGTGTCAGCTATACTTTTATTTTTTATGTAATCAAAACTATATATTTATTCTACCCTATTGTCATTGTTAATTTTTGCATACTTGGTCTACAGATTACAATAAACAGTACTCATGTTTTAGTTAGTGAAAATATGTTATTCATTGCAGAGGCAAGTAATGTATAGAATTATATTTTCTTTTTTTTTTTTTTTACTGGAGTCTCACTCTGTCACCCAGGCTGAAGTGCAGGGGCGTGCTCACGGCCACTGCAGCCTCGACCTGCTGGGCTCAGGCCATCCTTCCTCCCCAGTCTTCCAAGTAGCCAGAACCACAGGTGCATGCCACCCCACCTACCTAATTTTTTTTGATTTATTATAGAGACGAGATCTCATCAAGTTGGCCCAGGCTGTTCTCAAACCCTTGGGCTCAGGTAATCCTCTCACCTCGGCCTCCCAAAGTGCTGGGATTACAGGCTTGAGTTACTACATCTGGCCTTAGAATTACATTTTCTTATTTTGATCCAATGTCATAATCTC